ACTCTAAATGGTTTTTCAGTGTTGTGTGAGATGTTTGGGTTTCAAAAGTCGGTTTTCTACTATGTACGTTTGGCTATTTAAATAAGCCTAAGACACCCCTTGGACATATCTGTTCAAACAGATATGTCTGAACTTTGAATTTCAAACTAACAGCAGTTATCTGAAGTTATCAAACTTAAATATATAAATATATATATTTAATTTAAATAAGGCCAACAAGTCCAAAGCCCACTTCAGAAAAACCCAATTGTGTTTATTATAGTGAAAGATCCCTACTCTTATAAAGAGTGTAGGAAACTCTTTTCCCACTCAAACTCTAACACACTCTAGCCCCACAATCTTCAATGAGCAATTCAAACTCCAACCATACCTAAGCAAAGTACGTAACTCAGCTTAGCACAAAACTCCAACATCCAATAATGATTAAGCTCTCAATTTATCTTAACTAATCGTGCACTTGCATGCAAAGTGAGACAGACATCACTCGGGACGCACCTAGAAACCCGATTATCAATTCGTCGGTACCTACAGACTCCTAACAACACTAGCTACAACATATATTAAGTTGGAAATGATCCAACGGTCCGATCATCTTCGATCAATGGTTTAGATTTGTGAGCTCCGATCCTCGATCAAACGACGGAATCTCAACACTTCAAGGACACCACCGTGCTCACCACCTCACGTACTACAACTTGTCTCAAAGGTTACGACTCAGAACCCCCACCACGCTTTGCCAAGAGCCACCATGGAAGTACTATAACGACAACGGACCAACCCTACAATTGCGGGTCAAGACTTATACCAAAATGTTCATAAAACTGAGTAGAGCAACTTTGATTCTTACCTCAAGTTCCAATTCGAAAGTGGCTCAAACCGATAGTTGAAGTCGTTGACTTCACTAGTCACGAGCCAACTTCAGAGCGTCGCCATGCCTTCGCTGCTGCTCGGATCACTCCAATTCTTGTTGGTTATGCTCACAGGATAGTCAGCTTTTGATCTACATGGGTGGTGTTGACCACCTCCCCCGGATGCTGTCGTCGGAAATCACCCCTCCGACAAACTCTCTAACCTCCTGGGGCTCACTTAATTCCATTATTTCCAAACCAAACCAACTTCATAAAATACCCAACATTACTATCCACTTTGTATGATTTTTGAAACATTAATAACAACAAAATCCCAATTTTGTGGTTATTACAGTGAAACTAACAAGACTAAAAAAATTGCAGCTTCCATTTTCACCAATCCAACATTGTCTACGTAAGTCCACTCATTTGAAACAAATAAACAAACCCCATTTCCCACCTATCAAACATTTTGACTTCTCATTTTCTCTTCGCTTTCGTTATATCCCCTGACATGCTCCTTCTTTTTCTTTGCTTTTCGCTCTGAACCTTGAATCTTCCCAACCTGCCATGATTGACCTTCTTAATCATCCTCTACAATCCACATTTTCTTTTTTCTTTTTTCTGGTCTGAACCTTCAGTCTTCCGCTCCCTTTTTAATTTTAATTCACAAGGCTCACTTCCAAATTACAAGGCTCAAATAATTGAGAATGTGGAGACAACCACGAAAATGAAACCAAGCCAAACTTGAATCATTACATGAGGAAGAGAGCTATGGTTTTGGTCCTAATTTGGTTATGGCCTAAAATGTGACTAATTGGTCTATAATACATTGGGCCTAATGTTTATATAATTCGAAACCCAAATGCTCAAGTGGTAAAATGAGGGGAGAATGAGAGAATTTAAATTAGTCCAAGTGTTAGCTTCCGTTTTGGCTCCTTTAGACCATCTCCAACCATGTTGGGGCTAAACTCAAATTTCCACCTTCCAAAATACAACTATTCATGTATTTTCAGGACTCAAATTTTTTTTTCCTCCAACCTTGCAGACTCATAATTTAAGTCCGCAACTTTATTAAATTGTTTAAGAATGATTAACTCCTAAATTTTTTTTCTCATTAATTTTTCTTGACATTATTTTTGTTTCAACATTCGTGATTTAATTTTCTAAACATTTTAACCTAAAAAAATTAAAATTCCAAAACATAATAGATTTTCACTTGAAAATAAAAATAAGTACAACACCATATGTGTTTAAATTATGTAAGTGTGTTTAAATTATGTTATGTGTTTAAATTATGAAAATTTGTATAAAAGTGGTTGTTGCTCTATTGTTAATTGACACAAATTAATGTGCTAAGAATGAGTAAAGTATAAAATATAATGAAAAAATATAAGAATGAAAGTAGAATGAAAAAATATAACAAAGAGAGAAAGGAAAAAAAAGGGAGAAAAAAAAAGATTTTTGGTTAACACAAATTATAGCTGTTGGAATATTAAAAAAAGAAAAAATAGAGCACCGCATAATTTTGAAAAAGTAGCGGTTGGGATTCAATCAAATGGCTAGTTTGTTGCAAAACTCATGTGGGGCCAACACTTTTTGTTGTTCACGTGGGCTTCCAAGGTTAAAACAAAGAAGAAAAAGTAGATTTTGGGCCCACAAACATTATCAGTCCAGGCAATAGTTTGGGTGGAATTCCAGTCCGAATTTGAGATTTCTCAAATTTCCACCCCTCAAAATACATGGGTTGGAGATGGTTTTTGGAGGCTAAACTCAAAATTTGAGTTTCCACCCCAAAGGTTGGAGATGGTCTTACTATACTGTAATTATCAATTTGCTCTAGATCTTTTTTTCACTTAAATTAAGGACTTAAACTACATAAAATAGGTCAATTTGGGATTCACCATCAAGTTTTTAGATGTCCATCTAAATTTGAGTCAATATTAAGAGCAAATTTGTAATTTCAAAGGAAAAAAACAACGCCTTAATTATTAATCGACTTTTGAGAGAGCTTTAGAGAGAGAGACTCTAAAATTTCTCTCTTCTCCACCGCCCTTTTTTGAGCAACTGGTGACTCTCTCGCTGACCTTTGGGGCAGCTTCTCTAGCACCTTTGGTATGACTTCTCCCTCTCCTCTATTTTATTTTGTCTTTCTACTTTCGAATGCCCTTTCTCCCCTGAAATTTATAATATTGGCCAAAACCTCCTTCACTTTTCCCTCTACATCTCATGTTGCTCTCCTTTTCAGCCATTAGATCTCCCTCATCCTTTTTTTCCTTCATCCCACCACACCTCCTTGCATCTATCCTTATCTCTTCCTTATCTCTTCTCCTCCCACCAAATCTTAAACTCTGAAGTTCTCTTTCCCTAGGATTCACTGGGTTGACTACTGGTTTGCTGCAACTACTTCACTTCTACAACCCATATCGTATCTAAGACTTTAATAAGCATCTTTGAGCTATGTGGGCTCTGTAACTCAATGGTAAAATGTGGGAACACATGTTTCGACAACCAATAGATAGGCGACACGTGGAAAAGGAATATTGCTTAGGTCAATTAATTACACTAATTAAATCATATTTAATTTGGAAAATTATCTTTGATTTAAGATGAGAATATCCCCCCAAATCAAGGATGTGATTTCCATCAAATCTTAATTCCAATATCCTATTTATGGGTAAGAATAATCTTAACCAAATAAGGATTATTCTTCAAACCTTAACACACAAGGAGCTTATAAAATACATGGCTACACAAGACATTCAAGTTAACTCTTTCTCACCCGAAAAACCCTCTCTTTTCACCTCTCTCTATCCCCTATCTCCCACATGGCTAAGGCTACCCAGCTCTTCCTATGAGAGAAAACTTCATCCATTTTAGATATGCCTTATCTTTTATCAAAGATCCAATTAAACTAACTTAGATATCGGAGGGCCTTTGGTCTATTTACTCTTATTTATTTTGCAGGGATCGAGAAAGAGAGGGAAGGAAGATCGAAGGTCGATGAATCAACCCGTGAAATATTCCCCGTGCGGAAATTTGCACAAACATAAATTTTGACCACTACTTGATGGATCGCTTGAGTATAATGCATATTGGTCTCTTGTTCCCCCAAACCCATATGTTGTGCAGATCTCCTTTCTTGATTCCTCTAGACCTTAGTCTTCTTGTGGCGGCAACGACATATCTAGCGGAGATGATGGCGACTGCTTTATTTTTGTAGGGTTTGATTTTAGGGTTTTTGTAATTTGGGTGCTTTTTGTTGTTTTAGGCCTCAGCTATTGGGCTTTTCATTTGTTATGACTCAGGCTTTTTTTTTTGTTTTCTTTTTTTGAGTTGTTATGGGCTTTTTTTTTTTTTTTTTTTTTTTTTTTTTTTTTTTTGTTTTTTTTTGAATAAAATCACTAGGTGTCCTTGCACCCAAAGGGTAAAGGGTGGGATTAATCCCCACCCGGGTTCGGCTTGCCCATGGCCACAAAGTGCTTCCAATGAGTTTCGAACCCCTGCCATTGAGGAGCCAGGTAGCTTGCCAACTAGATGTGGTACTTTGCCAACCGCACCACACTTTGTGGTTTGGGCTCTCTTGTAACTTTATTTGGTAATGAATTATTCATTTCCTTCTACCCAAAAAATCAAAAAGGCTACACCTCATCAAATAGTGTAAAAAAACAATTTTGATCACTAGGTTAGAGTTTAGGGACGATTTTGGTCATTGTGATTCTAATTTTCTCAATTTTTCTTCATCACAATCAAGTCCAATGCCTCAATCTGTCAGTTTCACTAATTAAAAAAATATTTAATATTAAATTAAAAGTAATTAACTTAAATGTAGAATTTAATATTTAAAATAAACTTTTAAATAGGACTTCACAAGAATAACAGAGGACCCATGAATCATGAACAGCCACAATCAAGAAAAAAAGAACTTTCAAGTTTCAACCAAATAAAAAAAAACAACGCCAGTAGAAGCTATCAAGTAATAAAAATGGTTCATATACTTCGATAATTGTTTCACTGAATTGCCGCATCAAGAAATTAAAGACCAACAGAAACATGCTTCTTCTACATCCGGTAAATTGGCAATGGCTACAACTTGCCAACATACAGCTAAAACACCTTGCCTCCTGCTGATGCTGCTGCACACAGTGTATTTTAAAGTTCAAAATTGTTAGCATTTACCAAAGTCTGTTTTATGAAAAGATTTCTCAAATGTAATGTTGTAATAAGAAGAACATATAGGAAATTGTACCATTATATAAGCAACATTAACTACCATCTTGGCCTCGATCCGGTGCCCTTGGTTCCACTCATTCTGGACATAAAATTATTTCTGATAATAATAATTAATACGAAATAATTAGTACTTAAATTAAAGCAATCCATGAACACAAATTAGAGAAATGGTGATTATCACTGCATATTTTGTGTTGGAAAAGAGAGGAAGAGAAAGCTGGATATCCCAACATGCTTCTTCTACATCACAGGTAAATTGGCAATGGCTACAAATTTCCAACATACAGCTAAAACACAGTCTTTTAAAGTTCAAAATTGTTAGCATTTACCGAAGTCTGTTTTATGGAGAACATACAGGAAATTGTACCACTAAATAAGCAACATTAATTACCATCTTGGCCTCGATCCGGTGCCCTTGGTTCCACTCGTTCTGATAATAATAATTAATACGAAATAATTAGTACTTAAATTAAAGCAATCCATGAACACAAATTAGAGAAATGGTGATTTGAGCTACATATTTTGTGTTGTAGAAGAGAGGAAGTGAAAGCTGGATATCCCAGCAGACTCACATGCATGCAACATACCTAAAAGATGAACTTGATGATGGGCTATCTCTCAGACTGAGTGAAGAAAATGGTTTTGAAAGGAACACCGTTGGATCAGCTTCGTCGCAGCTGCTCGAATCTGCTGGCCATCTATTTGGAACAACATTGACCCTGATCACCAATGAAGCAATAATGAGTTATTTAAGCTAAATCCACTGAAGTTCGAGGTACTATGAAACTGAGCTTTTTTCCAGCCTGTGAGGAATAAAAGTTGAAAAAAAGAAGTTCCAAGGACAATTTACATACCCATCAAAACATCTGTGTTTGCAACGGTTCATCTTATCGACAGTGTAATTCCCAAAGATGATGTCAAGGCGCTCTGTAAGTTTAGGAATATCAGAAAGTGGGACAATGTCCCAAATCTTCATAACCTGGACAAAATCTGAGTTCTGCTTGTGAATTTCTACGCTCCAAATGAGATACAGCAACTCATTGACTTCATACGTCTCTAGCAATTCAGCAGAAGTCCCACCATGGCCTATAATCACTTTATCATTCTGAGATTGGCGCCAACCATTAGAAAGCTTTTTTATTAAAGAAATTACGTCCTGTCGAATCTCGGTGTCTTTAATTTCTTCTATTGAATTCCTAAATTCGTTGGCAAACCAAACCTATATCGGAAAAAGACTGATTATTGCTAATGAACACATAAGCAGATACTTTGATGATGACAAAAAAAGAAAACCAGAAGTAGCAGCATACCTTCCATTTTGCATTTTTGAACAGCAGAGAATCAGCATCAAGCAGAGTATGTAGTTGGTTATGCTCTAGAAGGGCTGCTGCAATAGCCTGAGCTAAGTTATTGTCCTCATCAGCATTATAGAAACAATCGCGTTTCTTCGCATCAAGAATTAGATTCTTCCAAAGTGAGTTACTGTTAGTCAAAGTCGCTTCATTCCCCAATATCCAAAGGCAATGCCTACACCAACAAAACCACAAAAATTAACTTCATCAAATCTAATCTACAACATGAGCAAGCTACAATGTAACATGCAGTAATACCTGGCACGAGTTAGAACCACATTTGCTCGCTGACGATTGGAGAGGAAACCTATAGATCCATTCCCATTACATCTGACAGTGGAGATAATTATCACATCCTCTTCACCACCTTGGAATCCATCAACAGATCGCACACTTACAGAGAAATCTTTGCCAGAAACTTCACTGTAGTTTCTGAGTCTCAATTGAATTGCATTAACTTGAGCTTTGTAAGGTGATATTACCCCAACACTAACCTTCTTTTTTGTTCGAGTAAATTCTGTGGCGAAGAAGGAAAAGTTAAGAAAACTAAAGAGTAGTAGGTATCATGTACCTAGCTAAAACCTTCTCAAGCAGCATATTCTTACAACAACTAAGAACATCAACTAGCTTAGGACAGTAATTACCTTTGTAAAGGCTTGAAACTATCTCATATACAACAGCAACCTCAACCATGTTTTTCAGACTATGCCCGAGATCAAATTCTTCTTTTCCATTGGCTACATTTATAAAGGAGTATGGCCCGTACATTCTGCCCTCAATGAAGGACTTCTCATAGATTACTTCACTGACATTTGGACCATCTAATATCTGATTGTTGTAGAACTCCTGTTTCGGAAACCTGCTGATTGATGGATGCATCCTATACTGGACATTAAGAAGGAGCTTCTTGTGGCCTCGCAGTACAAGTCTTTCGAACAAACTTCTTCCAAATTCAGCATTCTCAGAGAGCTAACAAGTTCATTTGCTAAGATGTTAAGATAATATATTTTTGTGTGTGCTTTTGCTTCTCATTATTTAAAAAACTAAAGAAAACAAAGGATAAAAAGAAAACCTTGCTTTTAACCATAGCAGGGAGTTGCCTCTCATCTCCTATGAGAATAGCATGGCGAAGACCAGGTAGTTGTAAAGGAATTGCTGACTCACATTCTTTCAGCTGAGCTGCTTCGTCAATCACTAACATTTCCAGAGGTGCCATTCCTTCAGTGTGCAATTGTGCAGAGCTTGACGCAGTACAAAATATTAAACAAGCATTTGCCAAGCACAAATTTCTTATTGTTTGTTCGTCATTTGAATTTGGAACAGAAAATTTATGAAGCGACTTAAGAATTTTAGTGCAATTTTTTTGAAGTGATTGTAACCTTTCATTAGCAACACCGTCCCGATGCAATATAGATTTAATCAACTGAAGCAAATCCGAAACTATAATCATGTCCCTTACCACCTCTAGTGAAATGCAAGATGTTGGCAAGTGGGTGTACAAGTTTACCATACAAGTTTTCAGATGCTCGCTAAAGTAATCAAATTTTTTCTTCACAAACTCCTCAAACGTCAAAAGATAACTCTCATTGTCACTTGTTGGGCCGCTATTATCAGTTTCTTCATCGTCCTCATCATTCTTTTTGTGCTGTTCCCTCTTTTCCTCTAAATACAAGGAATAGAGTTTCTCTGGATCCTTAAGTAAACGTATCATGGATGCTAACCAATGTTTCCAACCAGACAAAGGGGCAAGACATTTGGACAGAATACTAATACGACTATCAAGAAATACCTCAAAAAGGTCATTATAATTATCGATCTTCATCCGCTCCACATTCCCAAATAGAATTATATCTCCTAGTCCATACTTTCCATATTCAGGAGTCTGATTAACCAACCTCAAGAGTCGTGCCGTAACTTCTAACACGGCAATATTGGTTGGCGCACATGTTAGTGTTCTGCACTTCAACTTAAGGAGGACAAAGAGTGTCGTACCGATTGTCTTGGTTTTTCCAGTTCCAGGAGGACCCCATATTAGTTTTACAGCATTATGGTGATGACACTTACTCAAACTGATACAGTTTAAAACTGCAGCCTTTTGGGAATCATTTAGATCAGAGCACATTGTGGGCCATTTTGTAGAAAGGTCAGGGGAGCACATGTCTTTGGAAAAACAGGTTGTGCAAGAATTCTCCCCCTGTAAGATACAAACATGAAATGGATTAGTGAGGGATAGACTATTTGCTTTGAGTTAAGGATAAGAGAACAGAAAAATACATCTGATGAATTGGGTTGCACTTGCAGCACATTCTTAATGATATTGGTGTTTGTCTCTTCTGAGTTCAATGCTTTCCATACATGAACATTTGTGCTCATGTTCATCAAATAGACAGCAAACAGTGTTTCTCTCTTGCTCTTTATTATTTGCTTGTATCCTTCTCCACTGATAGGCTTTGATGAGAGTATTGGGAGCTTGTCTGAGCTGTCATCTTTTGATCCGAGAACATATGCAATAAGATAGAAATTTGTAGGCCTGTTCAAATCATCAATGCATTTTGGTATAATATTTGTCAAGACAAAGATATCTCCAACCGCTGGCTCATATTTTCCTGCATTACTTTCGGCCGCAATCGTCTTCCTAACTTTAATTTCATAAAACAAGTCTTTGGGAGGCCTATGGTGCTTAGAAGTTTCGACAGTTAGAATCTCACAAATAGGTGCCTGCGAAATTGCCGAAACGTTTGAGAGTAAATCAGCATGTGTTTCCTCAATAAGTGAAGGAATGAATGACTTCATGTAACTCGCCACTGTCGAAAATGTCTCTGGAATTTTGGTCATCTGCAAGTGAATAATGTGAAATTTATATAACTCAAAACAAAAAAATATATATTTAAAAAATGAGCTGAAAGGAAAGTTGACAACACTAGCTAGCTAGATATGCATAATGAGGAGATAAATAACTGGAAAAAAGAACCTGGTGTTTGTGAAGATCTCTGTCGAGAACATTCCTAAGAGACCAAGAGAAGACCAAGTCGATTAAGCTTCTACCTGCAATCTCAAAAGGCTTCTTCACCTTATTCATAATTATTACTACTTACTCAACTGAAAATTCCCCAACTACTGATATGTAAAATGCAGTGGCTTCTGTGGATATATATCACTCTCTCTTTTATATTCAACTTCTGATATATCGAAAGGACTGGAAAGAAAGAAAATAAAGGTAGCTACCCCTAGGCGAAGTTAATAATTACTTAGCTCTTCGATTTCCTGTCCAAGTTGTAGAAATGCAAAATTAATGCACGTAAAAACATCCAAAGGGACGTTTTTTATTTTCGAAATAAGCGATAGTATATTATTGATGAACAAACAAAAATACAAAGTAACTATGTGCCGAATATGGGTAAATCTTTTCAAGTTATCAAACACAATCACATGTTGAATTGATCTTCAGAGAATTACATACAATCCAAACTTTGACTAAATCCCCAATTCAATAACCAGAAACACAACCCAAAAATGGACTTTTTCTTTGAAAATAAAAAATATCCCTCATGAAAAGTTGGAAGAAAATGAAAGTGACAGATATAATAAAGACGTGTTGAGTTAATAATTATTACAAGACTTAAAAAGACCAAAAGACAAGCACAAGATATAAAACGACAGAGACAGCTTCATATTCATGTCGCTGCCTGCATTGGTAAGACCAACAGACGTCTTTTACCTTAATTTCACATTTTACACTAGTTTTAAAAATAATAAATAAATAAATAAGAAGGTAGTTAAACTGGAAAATGAGCAGCTGTGAGGGGGCATTTTAGGCTTGCTTTGTTCATATCAAATTTTCCTAGCTGGTGCGTATCAAATGATGATTTTTGTACACTTAAACGAGTTATATCATGTGGTCATACTGTTGTACTTTGCAATAACTTTTCGAGCCATTGAGTTGAGAATTGAGCTATATATTTGTTTAAAGTAAAAATATTGAAGAAAAATAAAATAAAATTCTTGTAATCTGTACATACAATATTAAGGGGTCGTTTGGTACAGAGGATTGTCATAAACTGGATTAAATATTGGTACTGTCTTGGATTGGCTTGGCCTGACACAAGCTGGATAACACTTGTACAGTGTTTGGTGTATGTCTGATTGGACTAGGACAATTTTTTTTTTTGAAAAGTAAGATTTTGTTATTTTATTTTTACTTTTCTTCTCTCTCCATCTCTTTCTTCCTCTTTGCATCTCTTTTTTTCTTTTTGGAAAACCTCTATGCATCTCTTTCTTCTTCTTCCCCTCTACATCTCTTTCATCTTCTTCTTCTCCATTTTCTCTCCTCTTCTTTTCTCTACTTTTCTTTTATTTTTTTCAAAAATTCTCTTATCTTCTCTGTTTTTTTCTAAAATTTTCTCTCCTCTTCTTCTCCATTTTCTTTCTTCTTCTCTATTTTTTTCAAAAAATTTCTCTCATCTCTTCTTCTCCATTTTCTCTCCTCTTCTCTGTTTTTCTTGTTGGAAATTTTCTGTTCTCTCCTCTTGCTTTTCTATTATGCCTTCTCCTTCTTGGGTGGCTATGGTCAGTGGTCATGGCTAGTGGTCGTGTCTGGTGGTTGTGGCTGCCGCTTGGTGGGTCATTGGTTGTGGGGCGATTGGGTGTGGTTGCTAGTTGCTTAGGTCATCGGGACTGTTAGTCCCTCCTCTCTAAACGGGTTTTGCTAAGAGCATCCACAATGGGCTCCCTAAACCACCTCCTTAGACAAATTTTAGGGAGGAATCGTAAAAATGCAACTTCAACCACGCTCCCTATCCACCTCCTAAAATAGAGTCCTTTAGAGCATCAACAATGATGCTCTCTATTTTTTAGCTAAAATTTGGCTAAGAATATAAGAAAGCTATTTTAAGAGCTCTCTAAAAAATTTTAACTCCAACCATACTCCCTAATTTGGAGAGTCATAAATATTATAACTCTTTTTTGATTGGTCCATCTCTATTAAAAAATAAAATAAAAAATAATTAACATTAAATACAGGTTTGAAATACTCATTAAATAAAGCATCATTAAATTATAGGGAGCCACTAAGAGTCCTTTCTCTCTCCTCAGATTTAGGAGCTCCTAGAAGACTCCCTATTTTAGGATGTGGATAGGGAGCATGGTTGGAGTTGCATTTTTACGATTTCTCCCTAAAATTTGTCTAAGGAGGTGGTTTAGGGAGCCCATTGTGGATGCTCTTAAGAGCTCCTAAATCTGAGGAGAGAGAAAGGACTCCTAGTGGCTCCGTATAATTTAATGTTGTTTTATTTAATGAATATTTCAAACCTTTATTTAATGCTAACTATTTTTTATTTTATTTTTTAATAGAGATGAACCAATCAAAAAAGAGTTCTAGCATTTATGACTCTCCAAATTAAGGAGTATGGTTGGAGTTAAAATTTTTTAGAGAGCTCCTAAAATAGCTTTCTTAGAGCATCCACAATGGGCTCCCTAAATCACCTCATTAGACAAATTTTAGGGAGGAATTGTAAAAATGCAACTCCAACCATGCTCCCTATCCACCTCCTAAAATAGGGAGTCCTCTAGGAGCTCCTAAATCTGAGGAGAGAGAAAGAACTCCTAGTGACTCCCTATAATTTAATGCCGTTTTATTTAATGAGTATTTCAAGCATTTATTTACTGCTAACTATTTTTTATTTTATTTTTTAATAGAGATGGACCAATCAAAAAAGAGTTATAGCATTTATGACTCTCCAAATTATGGAGTATGGTTGGAGTTGAATTTTTTAGAGAGCTCCTAAAATAACTTTCCTATATTTTTAGCTAAATTTTAGCTAAGAAATAGAGAGCATCATTGTGGATGCTCTTATATTCTTTGCCAAATTTGAACTAAGAAATAGGGAGCATCATTGTGGATGCTCTAAGAACACCTAAAGATGCATTTTTGGTGGGCCCAGTATTAGTTAATCTCACTTAAAATTAAAACCGGGGTGAAACAAATATGGGATAGAACTTTAGCCAAGTCAGTCCAAAGTTGCACGGTGTAACAAACACGCCCTAAGTTTCTTTTTTGGTAATTATTAGTACAGAGTTAAGTTAACTTTCAATTATTCAGTTGCATTAATTAACGAGTGATGCTACTTCCCCACTTACATTTGATTGGTAATTGGAAATTGACGACTACAATTGAATCCTTTTACCAAAAATATCTTTCGCAAATCATTCTCTTGTTGGAAACAAGACATCTTCCTCAAAATTACTTTTCTTTTTTGGAAAAAATAAATTACTTTTCATCTAGTGCCTTCAAAGTGTACACCATTTTGGATTTACGGGTGGTGTTAGAGGCACCAACTTTGGGCACCAACTTGGGCACCAACTCTCTAATAGAGGTGGAGCCCGCCAATACACCGGGTCCCACGCTCTATTAGAGAGTTAGTGCTCAAAGTTTGTGCCTCTAGCATTTTCCTTGGATTTACATAGGGGCTGACTTTCGATCGGGTCGAATCGAAATCAGGGAATTCAAATTCTAATAAAAAAATTTGGAATTTCAATATTCATTCCACTTCGAAAAACTCAGAATTTTTGGAAAATTTCGGAAACTATTTCAAAATTCTAAACATGATTTGAAGGATTAAATTAACTCAAAATTGAAAACTCATACGATAAGCTTGGAAAAGTATTATATGTTGGTGCTTTTATATTGTTGTCCTTTTATGAAATAACTTGTATATATATGTCTATTTGGTGATCAAATTATATTTAGTTCAACATAAAATTAGTAATTGTAATATATTTTGGAATGAGTGATGCTAAACGAATTCTAAAATTAAATAAGTACACTCTACCACCAAACTATTTATTGAATTACTAATTTACCCTAATATAAAACGACCAAAAAGGATATATTGAATTATGAAACAAATTAATATAATTTTAATAAGTACACCCTACTCACCATATTCAACAATAATCAAACGTAGAGAAGTTTTCGTATTACTTGGTGCCCACAAATAATGCAGCGAGCACGAACAGAGGAGCAAAGAGGTGTCGTTAAATGTTTGAAGGTACTACATTGAACTTGAATTGATTCTTGCGTTGAATGCACCATTGGGAGCGTACACCTAGGGGAAAATGCCTATTTATGGTCAATGACTGGCATGCAGGCCTTGTGCTATTATAAGTAGTTTCAACTAATTGATTGGTTAGTTATATAGTTTTCTTTCATAATTCTTTTGCTAAATGTTTCCTACTTTCTTTATAAATTTGTACTTTATTTTCCTTTTTTCGAGTAAAATTAGTGATGATGAAGTTCTGATTATTATATGTCCTTTGATTCAGACTTTTGGCTGTCAAGTATCGTCCGTTGTAATTCATTACCTTGCACATCAAGTCGATGTTTTTTCTTTCTTTTCCTGATACCAATCTTCATTCATATGTCCCATCTAATAAAAAAACGTAGTTATTTTTAAAGTAATTTTACTTCGAAAAAAGAAAAGGAACTCATAAAACTTTCATAAGATGATAAAACATATTTGGAGAGCAACAAGTTCAATCTATAAAAAACAAATTCGGGGCAGGTCCTGTCAATTGAGGGATAGACTAGATTATTATCCAATCGAAGAAGATTTTTATTAAAAATATGAAGACTCTAGTTATCGTGGACAAATTATTCACACACAAAAAAATATAGTCAGTTTCCAATTCTCTTATTTCGTTGTTTTCACCTTTCTTGTCATTGCACTACTAAGTGCAAAAACACCTTATTGTTATCACATAACTGTTAGGGTTTGTTTGATAGGGAGGCCTAGAATAGATTGGACTAGACTAGCAAAATGTCTATATTTTATGTGCATTCAAGGCATAATATGAATATGTTGCTTAAGTTGGAGGAAGAATGGAGACTATCTATAAGAGGTTTGATAACTAAAACGTATCCCCCCTAATTCCCTTGAAATGGTGAGATTATGAGGGATAAGTTTTAGTCATAACCTCTTATGAATAGTCCACCTTCATCCTCCAAGTTAGACAACAATATCCATGTAGACCTTTGCTAATCTAGTACAGTGTAGTCTAGTCCTCCCTAATAAACGAGGCCTTTTAGAGTCCAAAAAATGTCATGCAATCAAATATCATATGATGCATGCACAAGCACGACACACGGTGTTGACGCTCAAAAATGGTTCGGCACTTTTGAGCCCAACTTAGTGATGAGATGTGATGGATGATTGGTGAAGGTGAGGACCTTCACCAAGTGTGTGAGGATTTGAGCAAGCGATAAATATACAGAAAACAAGATATACGTGGTTCACCCTTAATGAATGAGCTACGTCCACGGAGAAGTATATTCTCATTATTATAATATTGTGTATTTACATTTGTACATGAGGTTGGACCCAAATATAAAAGTAAGAAAGGAGAAAGCCATGACTAAAGATCAAGCCCAGTCCAAGGATCCTTTCCTAAGTGGAGAGTGGTCTCCTTTTATAGGTGAAGGGGAGTCTTCATTTCTTGTAATATTCCAATGTGGGACTCTTTGCTTTGCCTAGAGTTGCTTCTAGTTGCTTGGTCAGATATGGTATAAACAAAAGTCCCCTAAGTTCTCAAGTAAGGAGGTACTTCTTAGTTGAGGACTTGTAATTTTCAATCCACTGACTGAGCAACACCTTAGTCTTCTTCCAAGTAGTGTGGTGTTGATGGTGTCGAATGATGACGGGGTGTCGAATGATGACTGGGTGCTGAAGGCATCACTCGTGTCGAATGATGGCGGAGTGCCGAAGGCATCGCTCGTGCCAAATGATGATGAGGTGCCGAAGGCAACACTCACGTCGAATGATGACGGGGTGTCGAAGGCATCGCTCACGCCGAATGATGACGGGGTACCGAAGGCATCGCTCGCGTCGAATAATGGTGGGGTGCCGAAGGCATCGCTCTCACCGAATGATGACGGGGTGCCTAAGGCATCGCTCTCACCGAATGATGACGGGGTGCCTAAGGCATCGCTCTCGTCTAATGATGAAGCTTGTAGAACAAGCTTACCAATGGTTATTGCCGATGGCTAATAGTCTTGGGTTTTTCCTTTTGGCGTATATGCCGATGATATTTTCCAATAATTATTGCCGATGGCTAATAATCTTGGGTTTTTTCTTTTGGCGTATATGCCGATGATCATATGTGCCGAAGGCAATAATGTTATGTGATAATATGTGCCGATGGTAGCAATGCAAATCATGATAATGTAGATGTGCCAATGGCCATGATGCGCATGTAATGATGCTTATGTGCCGAATGGCTATTCGGTCATTCTAGTGAACAGCAGGGTACTGAAGGTACATTGTCACTAGATGCCGAATAGGCATGTTAGTATCATCTGCCGAAAGACAAGGTAAATATTGCCGAACGGCATGTTGTACTCTTGGTGCTTTTGAGAAGGAAACCATGTGGTGGTGTCTTGCAAAATTTAGTTACCACTACTTGGTTCATAATTCAACTTGTGGTGGGCCCATGAAAATTGGTTTATGGGTTTATTAATTTTGGAAATTACCGTTCGACAATTGACTTCAGAGATCATAGGGAGTTGGCCTGCACATGGAGCCACATGGGATGCCGTTTGTTAACCTCGGAATATTTCCAAAAATGAAAGCTTGATCTTGACACTCTTGATCTGCCATTTAGCATTCTTGTAGCCGCTTGGATTTCGATTTCAGTTCGGCAATTTATGTTGGGCACAGAGACATGGCAATTTATGCTCGTGATGGGCTGAAGATGTATCAGCTCCAACAAGCACGTGAATCACCGATCATTCGACCTGTTGCTTAGCACTTGCAAGAAGGCATGGGTGTATTGATAAAATTCTCTGCTGGAGGTACCGAATGGTGAGAGGCTCCTACAAAGTGAGTTGAAGGGAGGACTAGTGTCACTGCTTCCTTCTTGTCTTGTAGTGGTCAAGACTTACCGGTAAGACATTATGTGAAGCTTTGGTTGTCCTCAACACCTGGGGTACTGTTCGGCAAGCTTGTCCTGTGCTGTTAAGAGTGTAGCTTCCGAGTTGAGTCATGCCCAGCATTGCTATTTGGCAATTGGAGATTTCGAGACCATGAATATGGGCATTCATCCGATGTGAGGCATTGATCGGTGATCGGTGGAGCTGCCGATTAATAAATTGCAGATCAATTGGAGGTCTAAGCGTATCACTTGGCTTAATCCTATCCTACCGAAAGGTAGGATGATTTGTGCTGTTGATAAGGCTCCCAGATGAGCTACGCCCAACGTTACCGTTCGGCAATTTGCAAGTTTTGACGAGGAGACCATGCCTTGTGGTGATACCTCCTTTGGGGTGGTTACCGAAGACAGGGTTTGTCGTTTGATAATGCGTTTTTGAAAGCCTTTTGAAGGTGGATGTGGCTTCTGAAATCCACTAGCTGAAGCTAAATGATTTGGGGATGAGCACTGGGTGCCGATCGCTACATATTATTTCTCTGGTTTTTTGAGCTTTCTGAAGCATATTGTTGCCTTTTGATTTGGCCAATTGATTGGTTTGGAGGATGGGGTGCCGATGGCCACTTTGGAGTTTTCCATCCCGTGTTTTGAACTTGCCATACTGTTTTGAGTGGCTTCCATCAGATGATGATTGAACATTTGAGATAGGTGGGTGCCGTTCAGCATGTCCTTTCACATTGCTCCACCCTTTCCTATGACAAATAGGAAAAAATAGTATTAAAATGGGAAGACTTGAAGATGTGGCTAGGCCACCGATTGATCCCATGTTTATGTCAGCCACTTGAATAATATATGGAATAATTGAATTGCTAAATGGAATTTGACAGGTGTTGAACAACACCTAAACCACAGCTTGTGTTAATGAATTATTAAATATTGCATGCTTGCAACTATGTTGAAATAATACAATATAAGAATAGGAATCTTATCATGGTGGGATGCACTTGGGCATCCGTTAGATTGGAACAAATTTCTGCTCTATTTGCCATGCAATGTAACAGTTGTGGAAGCCATTCAAAGCGGGGTGCCGAACGGTAAGGGCTTATGATTTGAAAGGGAGGTATTGCCGAATGGCAGTTTTGAATTTTGTTGAGATGGTGGTGTCACGTTGACTTTGGTCTTTGGGTGCCTTGAAGGAATTACTGACATGGGTGCCAATCAGTAATTGTCATCTCCGATATGCATGTTGAGCTTGGGTGCCGTCTTGGTTCCCTTTGAAAGATTTCCCAAAATTTGAGTGGTATGACAGTAGCATTGAAATTTGACAAGTGTAGGATGAAAAAAATGATATGGCAGCAGTCAGAAGCTTCCAAACAACAGATAAAGGGGCAAGTCCCCTAGTGGATTGATGGGGAATGGCTACCAAACGGTAGTCGTGCAGTTTTGCCTTTGTTCCCTTTTATTTACTGATTATTCATATTCCAGTTGGCTCTTGGATTTGAGTCTTCTGTAAGACATTTATATTGGCATATGGGAATAAAATAAGGACACAAGATAAGAAATGCAGATCTTATCGTTTGGGAGCCCACTCATCAATATTCACCAAAGGTGCCGAACGGTAAGGCATGTTAAAAGAAGCTAGGGTGGCCCACATATTTCCTCTTCTTTTGAACTATATTGCAAGGATTCATCTTCTGCATGTCACTCTCTTGAGACACACGGTTACTCCATTATGGTATTGTCATTCGGCAAGTTAGGAGATGCTGATTGTAGGGGTGCCGAAGGGCACTGAAGAAGGAGAGAACGACAGAAGCCTTTTGTGTCGATTCCCACAGACGACGCCAAACTGTTGACGCTCAAAAATGATTTGGCACTTTTGAGCCCAACTTAGTGATGAGGTGTGATGGATGATTGGTGAAGATGAGGACCTTCACCAAGTGTGTGAGGATTTGAGCAAGCGATAAATATACAGAAGACAAGATATATATGGTTCACCCTTAATGAATGGGCTACGTCCACGGAGAAGTATATTCTCATTATTATAATATTGTGTATTTACATTTGTACATGGAGTTGGACCCAAATATAAAAGTAAGAAAGGAGAAGGTCATGACTAAAGATCAAGCCCAGCCCAAGGATCCTTTCCTAAGTGGAGAGTGGTCTCCTTTTATAGGTGAGGGGGAGTCTTCATTTCTTGTAATATTCCAATGTGGGACTCTTTGCTTTGCCTAGAATTGCTTCTAGTTGTTTGGTCAGATATGGTATAAACACACGGTGATAATGGATATGCCATGCCGCAAGCCCACGCAAATACAAGGAAAAGAAAACTATTTATACAGACAAGTCCATTCCTAAGTTCGCGACCAAAATTTATTCGTGCTTAGTTATATATGAGTTATGCTATTTATTCGTAGTTTGCTTCTACAACCGTCGCCTTTTGGTCCTCATACATAGATAGCCATAAACAAGCCCTAACCTCAGTGTCCATCCACCCATTTGTGAAAAAAACAAGCCAAATGACCATAATCTCCCATTTGAATTGCTCCTATATAACGTTACAATGATTTTCTCTCCCTCACTCCATTCTCGTTCATTACTGATCTCCTCTTTGTTAAGGCACATACTTGACATCTTGTGTTTCTTGTGACACTGGCCCAGCAAGACCACAACAAGATTTCTCTGCGGTTGAATTTCCCTTGAAGTATCCTGGGCTTGGCTCCCCATTCTGAACCCTCGCGGTAAGTGCTCTTCAGAGACTCTCTCAAAGTCCCACACCACCTAAATCACCCCAACAATAACAAAGACTGTCGAGTACCCAAAAAAAAACATTTTACCGCTACAACACAACGGAAGTTGCTGAGGACTAACACACTTTATTGCTACCGCACAATGGAGGCTGCCAAGTGCAGAAGCACTTTACTCTTACACCACAACGGAGGTTGCTTAGTGCATAAACCCAAAATCGAGAGTGAGCTGGTCCAAACAGGATCCAACACTAACGCATAACCAAGGAGCGCAACAATTCACCAATAATAAACACACAGAGAGAGAGAGAGAGAGAGAGAGAGAGAAATGAGATCTAAAAAATTGAGAGAAGGAGAAGGAGAAAGAGGGGGATACTACCGGGTAACTTTAAAATGTTGTCAAGCACCTATAGTAATTGCCTTTGTAACTTAAAATGTTGTCAAGATACAATGGTACAAAGGAAGAGAGGATTATTATTGTTTAGAATTGAAATTTGGCGGGTGGAAAAATAGTGGAAGTAGCAACTTCATAATTAAAAAGAACATTATTTGCCATCAGAATTCAGTACACACGCAAAGAGACGGATAAAACATTCTATAGCAAATCCAAAACCACAACCATAACATTCGCAGAATAACAATGTCATGAGAAACGGTTCTTAAATCCATCTTTCGGTACTCAAACATCAAAGAGTCAACATCACTTCATACAATAAGAGTTGGCTGCCAGCCATAGGCATTAATATAAGGAACAAATTGTGTTGCAAAAGATACTTGGATTCACTCAAATATCAACAAGTTTCACTCCTTCAGTGCTCAACCAGTTCTCATGATGATATGAACTCCGCTATCTGTATCCACAATGTCGCTTATCTCCCCAACCTTGAGAGCAAATGTCGCTTCTTCAAACGGCTTCTGCATCTGGCCCTTGCCAAAAGGACCTGCAGCAATAGTTTGACATGCATCTCAGCAATAATTTAAATCTTATTTGAGGAATAAAGTAATATAGGCCTCATGTAGGGCCTATTCTCTTTCCAGCAAGATAATTTACATGACTAGCAACGATAGATGAGAAGGAAAACATCACAAATAAAACTCATCAACATGTTACTTAACACTAGTTAGGCAATACGTACGTAATAACACAAAGAAATTTTCATTTTTAATCCATAACTAATCAAGTGGAAGTCATTCTTTTGCAAAGTTGGGTAATTCCAACGACTTGCACAGAAATTTTGTGTGAAAGGCACTAGGCTTTTGGTGGAGGGAAAAAGGCAGGGGTGTTGCGGAACTGGGAGGTGATGGCTACTTTTGGGGTGTTGTACTTGGAAGAATTTAAAAAAAATTTGAAGACTATAAAGGGGAGAGAGAAATTTTTTACAGGATAAACTGATAACGTAATGTTTTAAATGTTACTTTGGGCATTGGCCTATTTGGAGCTTTGGTCCATCTTCGGCTATCTTAGGGTTTGGAAAGCTGTTCTTACCAAGATTTTTCACTGTTGATGGCTAAAGGTTTATTGCATTAGCTGTTTGGTTTGTAGTGGACACCTTGTCCACAAGAATTGTAATTATTTTGGTCCACCAAACTATGTTTCCTCTCAAATAATAAGATTAAAAGCTCATATTTCAGATAATATACTGCAGTCTGTAACTAAGCAGTTTTGTGCACGTTTTCTGTTTGGATTTCCCACATTTTAATGCCTTTATTGGGATAATTTATAATGACAAAACACAATTGTAAACCTAAACCATAATTTTGAACTTTGTGAAAGTTAGGTGCTAACCGAGATCACCGCCGCGTTTAGCAGAGCTACAATCAGAGTAGCGAGAGGCGAGATCATCAAACTTGGCCTTGCCAGAAATGATGTCATCATGGAGGGCCTTCAGTTGAGAGACTGCAGAGTCTCGGGTGGTGTTCTTGATGATGGCACCTTCTGGATCCTTCCATGAGGCCTTTCTTCTGGAACCTTGGTGCTTGATCAGTATGTGGGATGCCCTCACCTGATTCCCCACCGACGAGGACATTTTCGTCTTTTTGCTCTTGTCGGTGGCTTGACTTTTCTCTTTATCCTTGTTCGTGCGATCTGCCGCCCAGATAGAAGAAGCTGCTTTCTTTCGCTTACGATCGGACGAATCTATCTTTGCAGCTCAGACACAGAGCTTAGATAATGCTTGCTTGTCTGTATTCTGCATAATGACATTTTAGCGGGAAGTATTAGTTTCTTATAATATTTCAAATAAACTTTCATTTTCTCATGGATATTAAACTAAATTGAAAGCATACATTATACATAGAAGGGTTTAATATAGTCATTTCCCCACAAAAATTCAAATTGGTAGTAATCAGAGCTCAGATACTAGTGCCAAAACTATGTTTAATTCTCTGTAGTGTACAAAAACATTTTACCTGTAATGATTTTCACTTGGCCCCCATAAAAACTAACAGATAGATATCAAGAAAACGAAAAACAATGTTGCAATCTATCCTTAACCCTCCCCTTTAATTTAACATCATCCCATGAATACGAACACAAAATGAAAAGATATATTGAGAGGCTCAATAAAATTCAATTTCCACCAAAACTATTAAAGTTGATAGTTGTCAGAGCTCAGACACCAAATTAAAGATAACGTTCTCTTCTCTGTAGTGTACAAAGACACTTTGCTTGGTATAATTTTCATCTTCCAACCAATAGATATCAAGAAAACAAAAACAATGTTGTAATTTATCCTTAACCCTCCCATTTAAAAAGGAGATTACCATAGTTTTGTCATTGTTCCTCACTTTTATGTTAACAGTATAAAGCCTCACTCATACAATACAAGATAAGATTTAAACCTCTCAATACTAAATCTACTAATCAAAACAAAAAATTTTTAACAACGAAAAAGAAATGTTTAAACTAAAACACTGATCAGCAACTTCACCAATATTAGGACGTTTCCATTCATAATTCAAAATTACTATAATAATAAAATTTAAAAAAAAATAAAAAGCTTCAAAATCTATTGGATTACAACAAAAATCTCCTAATATGGGCAACAAAAATACCAGCATACAATTAATTTATAACCAAAAAAGAAAAAATTAAAGCTATTATGCTTTATACCCAGCCACCAAATCACCAGTAATTGCACAAAGTTAGGAAATTTCATGAATCGGAAAACTAAAAGAACAAAAAGTCATGAAATCTGAAGCTTGCTTGCACACCTGCAACAAAGCAATCCAACGGCGGCTGAAGAGTGGAAGATCGCAGATATGAGTGAAGGATTGGGCTATCAGGTAGGTAGTGGATGACGACTCGAAGAGATCGAGCTTCGATAGAACCTTCAATGGCGGATGAAAACGATGAGATGAGATGTGCGACTGAAAGCAATGGGTGTGTGCAAGTGCGACTTTGGGCGAGGCAGGCTCAAGGGTTTACCTTTTTTATTTATTTTATTTTTTATTTATTCTCACGTGCTGACTCGCCGACTTGGGTGTTTTTTGGTTTTGGTTGTTGTTCGTCCACATATCTTCTGACACGTGTGCCCTACCTTACCTTTCGATTGACCAAAATTACCATGACAAATTTTACCTCACTTGGGAAAATGCTTACTCCTTACCCCGAGTTTAATACGTATGTAACATACAATTTTATTTTTTTATTTTTAATGAATTATTATTTTTGAATATGTGCTATATCAAGAATGAGGAATGTGTTCTTCCAATAAAGGAGGTAAGAATATCCACAATCATGTTTTCTATTTTTTAGTTAAATTTTAGCTAAAAACATATAAAAATTATTTTAGGAGCTCTTTATAAAATTTAAACTTCAATCGTGCTCTCTAGTTTAGAGAGTCATAAATGCTATAACTTTTTCTGATCGATCTATCTCTATTAAAAATAAAATAAAAAATAGTTAGCATTAAATAAAGGTTTGAAATACTCATTAAATAAAGCAGCATTAAATTATATGGAGCCACTAAAAGTCCTTTCTCTCTCATCAAATTTAGGAGCTCCTAGAGGTCTCCCTATTGTAGGAGGTGGATAGGGAGCATGGTTGGAATTGTATTTTTACAATTTCTCCTTAAAATTTGTCTGAGGAGGTGGTTTAAGGAACTCATTGTGGATGCTCTAAGTAATGTCCTTTTATAAGTGCACTTAGGATCATGTGTTTAATAACACTTATGAAAAATTAAAAACTAAAGATTTCAAATATATATATATATTAAATAATAGGCTTATTTTTGATATACCCCCTAAAACTCATTTTGTCTCACTTTATCCCATTTTCATACATATTTGTCTTATTTTACCCCATTTTCACAAAATATTAATTGAAAGTAAAAAAATTTAATTTTAAAACTTAAAATCTATATAAAAATTATAAAGAAATTAAAAAAAAAAACTACATCCCTACACTTGCCCCTCCCCTCTCTCTCTCCATCTCCTCCTCTTTTCTCTCTCTCTCTCTCTCTCTCTCTCTCTCTCTCTCTATATATATATATATATTGTTGTAAAGAACGTTATAGAGCCCACATAAAGAAAGGAAGAAAAGAATGAAGCAATTTGTCTGTCATCTTCCCTTGTAAGCAACTGAACATCACGGGTGCTTCAGCCTATTTAAAGGCTGCATCTCTTCATTGCTAGATGGAGAGAAGAAACGAGAAGTGATAACACACTCAGTTGAGAGAAGAAAAGAGAGTGATAAATGTAAGAGTTAGTGAGTTCTATTTGAGAGGAAATTTTGTTAGTGTAAAAATCACAAGCGCAAATACAATCCTACTCCCAATATTCAGTGGTGCTTTTTATACTATGATTATATTTATAACGGGCGGGGATCCGTGGCACCACAAATTGACACAAGTTTTGACACAATTTTATAGCCTTTAGATGCAAGCACTTTCAAGGGCTAAGATTAAATGTGATTTTATTATTTATTTATTTTATTTTGATAACATAACAAATAAAATAAAATATTAAACTCACCACTTTTCAAGGTAGCATAAATGTAGGCTAAAATCTCTCCATCTCCTCCAATCTCATTTATTCTCACGTTTTGAGTTTGAACTTTTTTTTATTTAATTGTTTTTCCTTTATCTGGAAACAAAGTTCTCATCTCAGTTGATCTCCAAACACACAAGGATCTATTTCAGATTTTTCCACTCCAACACTTCATGCTTTTTTCGCTAAATATTATGGAGATTGTTTGAAAATCTTAATTGTTAATTGTGCTAAGAAGCTATGGATACTTTTTGCTGCAGTTAGATGCTAAACTGTTTGAGAATGAACTTGAACTTCTCATGGTAAAAGACATTAAGAAATCCACAAATGTAAGAGGAAAAAGAAATTCGAATTGAAAGTAATCCAAGGATTTAGAGACTCAAAGCTCAAGAAAATAACAAAAGAACCAACATACAAGACTGCAAGATAAACCTCTCCAAATTTTGCTGCAAGATAGAAAGAGACAGTAGTTGAACCAAACCCCAAACGAATAAAAAAAAAGATCAGAAAAAAAAATTTCATACTCAGAGAATTAGATCATACCATTTATTTATTTATTATATTGATTGAAATCTTAGGGGGAAAAAATTAATGGCTAACATGTGAAATATGGGAGGGAGAAGAGCTACTTCTTGTTTAGTGCTGGTAGTGATAGAGAAACTGTCAAGTGCAGAAGGAAGATTTGGAAGAAGAAGAAAAAACAAAAGTGAAGGCATGAAGAAGAAGATGACGTGAGAGAATATGTTAATGCTTTTAGGAAGTTGGGAAAACATAAATGAAGAGAGATAAAATATTATAGTAAGTTAATTAAAATTAATTTAAACAAATAATTATTTAAAGAAAAAGAATTAATTTGTTTAATCTTAACCATTCATTGTAGCCTAATCTAATGGTTAAAAAATTGTGTCAAAAATTGTGTCAAATTTACGGTGCCACGGATCCGCCCCATTTATAACATATATATATATATTTTTAATATTTAAGAATGTTTTAATATTATTTAATCTTAATATTGATGGCGCTCATAAAGGCTGCTATGGCAAAGCAAGTAGTGGTGGTGTGTTTCGCGATTATCAGGGCCATGTTCTTAGGGCATTTTCAGTGAAGTTTTAGCGGTCATTAAGGCCATTGAGCTTTCTTGGCTCCATGCTTGGCATAATTTTTGGATTGAAACTGATTCGTTGTTAGTTACTAAATTCCTTCACTCTCCACATTTGGTCCCTTGGCTTCTACGAGTTGATTAGCAAAATTGCATGCATCGTCTCCAACACATGTCATTTAAGATTTCTCATATCTTTCGTGGGGGTAATCATGCTGCTAATGCTTTGGCAAATCATGCTATTGATGCTTTGGCAAATCATGGTTCTTTGGGTTCTGGTTTAATTTGGTGGGATACACCTTCTTTTATTTTGCCTTTTTGTCTGCGGGACTAGCTGGGCATGCCTAATTACCAGTTCTCCTAGTTTCTTTTGTTTACTTTTTCAGAGTTTTGGTCACTTTGGTCAGCATGTTGTTGTGCATTTCTGTCATTGTCATTCTCTTTTGCAAGGTTTGGTTTGGTCCCCCCTACTGTCCTTGTATCTCTTTTTTGTTTCTTATTAATAAATTATGATCAAGGGGATAGGCGGGGGCTTCTGGAGTGTTGGTCCTCTCTTTGAGGGTGGTGGATGTTTGTGCATCCGATGACTGATACTGAGGAGCTAATCTCGCATAATCCTTTGGTTTATTTTTTAAAAAATGTTTTAATATTTAATATGATTTAAAATTTTGAAATTTAAATTTAAATTTTTAATTAATATTTTGTGAAAATGGGGTAAAGTGAGACAAGTATGTGTGAAATGGGGTAAAATGAGACAAATGAGTTTCACGAGGCAAAGTGAGATTCAAACACACTTTCAGAAATATATCACAAAAATAAGCCTATATAATATAATAGGCGTAAAATAGAAAAATAATATAACTAAAAATGGTTAAAATGCAAAAGAAAAATAGGATAATTATTACAAATTGCAGACCAAAAACATCTTCCTTTCCCACGAGAAAGCTGGAGCCTAGAACTCTTTAGGCCCCGTTTGGTTCACGGAATGAATTTGAGGGGAAATCATTTCCCATGTTAATTCCCAAGTGATGGGAAATGAAAGATTTCTTTCCCACATGTGGTAATGCTGGGAAAGTAATCGGGAGATAGCACTTTATTTCCTTTCCCATGTTTGTTTTGAGTAGGAATGGTAAACAAAGTTTGTACAAATTTTCAATTATGCCCATATTAAATTAAATAAAAAAAAAGAATGCATTTAATAATATATTGTAATTCTAAATTGTTAAGGGGGACAAAATGGTCATGAAAAATGAGTATTTAATGTTGGTTCATTTTCCCAAACTTTCCATGATGAGGGAAAACAAAACCCAAGTTGGGAGGATGGCTTCATCTTCCCCCCTACTTTCCCATGGGCCAGGCAATGATTTTCCATTCTTGGACTTACCAAACATGGGAAAGTAATTGATTTCCCATTCTCAAATCTCATTTCCCATAAACCAAACGGGGCTTTAAAGTTTTCTTTCGACTTCAATTATTATTATTTTCTTAAAGCCTTGAAGACGTCCAGAGATTACCAAAGGGTCGAAATCATCACAATTTGGACACAAGATTATAATAAAGGTATACAAACTTTGAATTTTTTTCCTTGATGAATTAATCTAATTCAGTTGCTTGATGAATTAGTGCACTAACAAAATTCCATGACCTTGTTGTGAGAATATAAAATCAATCATCATATATGTTAAATATTGAACCTACGTCTTTAATAAAATCAATCATCATATACGTAACTAATTTTACAGATAAATAGATAGATAATAAAAATAAATAAAAATCCATGACCAAGCTGTAACAATTTTTTTTAATAGATAAACAGATGGCAAAAATCAAATTGGAGGTAGCTCATCTTCTAAATCAGGGTCTTATAGTTTGTGCAAGCTTTGAAATCCTTTGACTTTTGATATCATACACCCTGAAATCTTGAAATGAAGCACGTCTTCCTTCATAATCACAATCATGGTAGAAGTATATGCAATTCGACTAGGATCCTAAAACATTTGAAGTCGCGATAGATATTGAAGAATTATCACCCACTGTTGGCTGTTGCGAATCTCGTGGCCTGGTGCTCCGGGCCGAGGGGATGTGCATCAACACGTGACGTCCTTCTTTTGGATGCGGTGCGGTTGTGCGCCGGCGTGCCAGCACGGTCTACCGTGCATTGAGATGATGATGAGGTTCGAGTAGAAGATGGTTAAATGTTGCGCCTGTTTTGCATTCGACTCCTAATCAAACGATTGTGGCCGAGAAAGGAACTGATCTCGGCCGTCAGGTTCACGGCCTGAGCTACAAGGTCGTTTAGTGGTGGTGTTGGTGGCGGGTTTTAGGCAGTGCTCCGGTGCGTTGCTCAGAGAGCGACGGTCATATGATATATGGGGTGAATGAGACGATAACAGAGATGGTGCTCCGGCGCCTTGAAAATCAAAGGTCGTATGATATAATGATGAATGGATTTTCCTTACAATCTACCACTACTCCTAGGAAAGCAAATAAAGGTATTGAAAGTGCATTACATGAAAATATAATTTGCTCCGTGGGAGGCTTTTGGTTTGGTGTTTGAACCTTTGAATGTAGTCCTGAGCTTAGTATTTATAGGAGGAGTCCCGGAGGGACAATCGAGGCTGACAAGACTTGCGTGGTGGAGCTTGACCGGGGCAAGTGGGTAGTCAAATCGGCATTTGGGATCGTGAAGCATGGTGGTTTGGGGTTGAGAAGCATGGTGGTGTGACCCCCATAAATCTCGGTAAATCTCGGCCACCGCCTTGATCGTGGGTTCTGCCCCCTTGGCTGTGGGAACGCATTTAATGCCCTGGTCTGGTGGTTGGTGATCTGACCTCAAGTCGTAAGATTACTTGTGAGAATGTCTGCGCCTAACCACCCTGATTTCCATCACCAAATCCTAATTTCAGTCACTTCCCTTCTTCCCTTGTGCATTAAATGCTTCTTGCGACTAGTGGGTTTGCTGCGAAAGTCAGAGGCATTACTTCGTTAAATGGGGTGTGGGACCCTGAGGCCACGTGGCGATTTAACCACAGCTTCTTCGGCCGTGTCTTTTACGGCCTTCGGCTTCGGCCTTGCGAGCCTTCCACACTGCGGTCGCAAGGCCGAGAGGATTCTGCCTTTGCAGTTTTTCTTTTGTTCTCAGGAAGGCGAAATGCTTGACGAAACGGTAGGCGCCAGGGCCAAAAGGAAGTCTCTTCAATCAGTTTATGACCTTGATTTATTAGGCACAAACATTGCCCCCACATCCCTGGATTCTTCAGTCGCGACCTGGGTAGAGGCCGAAGGATTCCAAGGGATGGACCCTTTGCATTCCCCCTGAAGTAATTAACAGTTGGTGCTTTAAATGCGTAGGTCAATCGGCGCATTAAATGCGCAAGCACGTCTTGCATGCCATTATTGCGCAAGCCGCCGTTTCGTCTTGTTAAATGAAACGACGGCTTCTGAGCTTTTGCCACGTCATCGCGCATGCGAACGTACTGTCAGACCGCTACGTCTCTCGAGAGAGCCATGCCCTTTCGTTTCAAATTCTAGTGCCAATATAAAAAGCCTTGCCTTCTTCATTTTTCTTCACTCCTTCCCCTCCATTCTAACCTGCTCCAGTGGCCTCCCCCCTGTAGCTTCTCCAGAACCAGGGTTGAGCCATATCCGCGGATCCCCGCGTCGTGGCCTGATCCAGATGGTTTTTTCCCTCTTACTGTCCACCAACTATCCTTCGTCTTGGAAAGTCGACGTGGGCCAAGGCCATGGTGTGGCCGAGATTCTTTCCCGGCCCTGGGGGAGGATGACCTTCCTTCTTATGAGGCCGTGGAGAAACTGTAATGCGAACGATGAAGATGGAAGGGCCTAGTGTGATGATTCCAACTTGGCCATGTTCATTTGGCCTAGCACCTAGGTCTCACCCATGGCCGAAGTGACGGTCCTGGCTTCACCCAGCCATAGTTGTGCACAGAATGATGGCCCTAGCCATGGCCCGAGTGACGGCCTTGATTGCAACCCGGTTTTACCCATGTCCAGAGTGACGTTCTCACCCATGGTCGGAATAATGGCCCTGACTTTAGCCGGCTGCACCCGTCTCCAGAGTGACGGCCTCGGCCATGGCCCAAGCGACGGCCTTGATTGCAACCCGGGTTCACCCATGTCCCGAGTGACGGCCTTGCTTATGGCCGCGGTCAGTGGAAACGTGGGCGGTGGAGGCACCGCCTAAGAAAGAATCATCTGCCTGCTCTAGCGAGGGGATCAAGAAGCGGCCGTTCATAGATTTAGGATGTACTCTATTTTCGCACATGTATGCTTATATGTTTCATTTGGCCATGACCGGCCGTTCTTTTGTAACCGCGACCCCTTTTTAATCTAAATGAAGTACAACCCTCTTTTTCTTCTGACTGAATGTATGTTTTTCTTTCATCTTTGTCGATTATAAACCTTATAACCCATTCTTGGCTGTATCCCATAATGATGGGGTATATTTCTTCAAATACTGGCCGTTTATTGGCAAGTTGTGCCATTCCCCATCCCGATCTCTTAATTGAAACGCACCTCAACCAAGGATCCGTTCGATAATAAACGGCCCTTCCCAATTGGGCGAGAATTTGTCGAACCGAGGGTCCTTAGTCCCGATAGGAAGCACGGCACGCCATACCAAGTCCCATTCGGCGAAAGTCTTTTGCTTCACCTTCCTGTTGTAGGACCTCACCGCGATCTGCTTTTGTGCCTGGATTAGGTTATAAGCATCGAGTCTGGATTGCTCCAAGTCTTCTAACTCTTGAGCCATGGCCTGCGCATAGTCCTTTTCTTCCTGTCCAGGTCGTTCGGTCACACGGAGAGACCGAACCTTTAGCTCCATCGGAACGATGGCGTCATGGCCATAGGTTAAGGCATAAGGGGATGTGCCAGTGGCCGATCGTTTTGAGACTCAGTAAGCCCAAAGGGCTTCAGGGAGTAAGTCGTGCCACGCCCTAGGTTTTTCCTCAATCATTTTCTCGAGGATGCCCTTGATTACCTTGTTGCTCTCCTCGGCCTGTCCGTTAGATTGTGGGTAGTAAGGTGTCGAGTGGACCAATTTGATCCATATCCTCTCGGCGTATTCTCGAGTCTCGGCTGATGCAAAGACTGGGCCGTTATCGGCCGTGATGGTTTCGGGTATACCGAATTAGTGGACGATGTGATTTTCGAAGAATATGACCACCTGTGTGCTAGAAATAGACCGATAGGACTCCGCCTCAACCCATTTAGTGAAATAGTCAGTTGCCACCAAAATCCAGGCGTGCTGGTTGGACGCGGCTGGGTAGATTTTGCCGATGATATCCACGGCCCATCCTCTGAACGGCCATGGTTTAGTAACCGGGTGGAGGGTGTCAGTCGGTACCCTTTGTATGGGGCCGTAGATTTGACACTTGATGCACCCCTTCGCATATTCTATGCAGTTTTTTAAAATGGCCAGCCAATAATAGTCGTGCCTTCGGACCAACCATCTCATCTTAACGCCGGACTGGTGAGCGCCGCAAATCCCTTTGTGGGATTCGGCCATGATAACCTTGATATCTTCGGCGCTGGAGCATAAGAGCAATAAACCGTCTGATCCTTTTCGATAAAGCTTGTTCTGATAAATCAAATAACACCGAGCTCGGAAACGAGTAGTCCTTTCATGGTTGCCGGAGGGATCTCGCAGATACTTTACTATGAGGTAGCGCCAGTCGGCTTTGGCCGCTTCGACCTCGTCGGTAATCTCAGCTGATGATACTTGCGCCGTCATTCCTCGCTCGGCCAAAGCCGGCAGGGTGCGCTTCTCGATCCTTATTACGCGGTCGTGGTTGCTGTCCGGAATGTTCACACCTGACGCTACCTGGGCCATCTCATTGGCCTCATGGTTTTCGGCGCGCGGTACGTGAATGAAGAAGATCCTAGAAAATTCGTCGGCTGTATTGAGGGCCGTTACATAATACAAGGTTAAATTCTCGTTCGTGCACTGGTATTCCCCGGTCAGTTGGTTAATGACCAGCTGAGAATCACCGTAGACCAAGACACGGGTCACCTTCATTTCTTTTAGAATTTCAAGACCGATGATGAGTGCTTCATATTTTGCCTGATTATTGGTGCATTTGAAATCAAGCTGGAACGCAAATTACCACATTTGTCCTTGGGGGGACTCGATCACGACCCCGGCCCCAGATCTGGTCTCGGTACTGGAACCATCGAAGTACATGGTCTAGTAGTTCTTCTCCATGCGGGCCATGCCGATCTCAACCTCCAACTCCCCCTCTTGCCCCTGAGCCGGGTGGTGGGCCAAGAAATCGGCCAATGTCTGGCCTTTGACCGACTTCTGAGCCACATATTGGAAGGTGAATTCGGACAATGCCATCGTCCACTTCCTGATCCGGCTGCATATGATCGGCCGAGTCAGCATGTATTTGATGAGGTCGGTCTTGGAGATGATCTGAACGACCGAAGGAAGCATATAATGGCGCAACTTAGTGGCCGCGAAATAAAGTGCCAAGCATAATTTCTCGATCGGTGAATAGTTTAGCTCGGCCATGTTAAGGGTGCGGCTCAGATAATGCACTGCTTGTTCTCTCTCAGACTCGTTGTTCTAGGCCAGCAGACAACCGATAGAGCCTTTTGAAGCCGAAATGTAAAGCCTCAAGGGTTTCCCTCTTTTCGACGGCACAAGGACCGGTGGTTGAGATAAATATTGCTTGATGTCGTCGAGGGCCGCTTGATGTTCTGCCCCCCATACGAACCGTTCTGTGTCTTTCAGTTTGAGCAGAGGAGTCAATGGCCGGGATTTACCCATGTCGGCTGGGATTGCCCTCAGCTGTTTGTCGGCGGCTGAGAATGCTAGCTGTAGCCTGACGCTTGGGTGCGGCCAAAGATGCCGAGGCTGCTGCTTTCGCCGTAGGGCTCAAACCTCTCGCGCTCTTGGCTTCTCTGTCCTGCTCTGGGAGGCGTTGCGGACGATGTCACCGGCATCCTCTCCTGAAAGAGCGTCCGTAGCTCTGAGGAGAATCTGTCCATTACGGCCATAAAGGATGTTTCTATCCTGTAGGCCTGCTTCGCCATCAGATCTTCCACGACTGCTTGCTCTCCCATGGACTCGACCGCGCGATCCGTCGTTATTGGACCGCTGGCCGAGATTCTAATCGCGTGTTTGGTCTCGGTGACAGTGATTGGTGAGGTGGACTCAGGAGCCTCGGAAGTCATTTTGACTGTTTTGTTTTTGAGCTTTGCCTGTGCCCTAGTTTCCACCATGAGTTTTTGACAAGGGTCCCACCGAGCATGCTAAAAGTGTTGGCTGTTGCGAATCTCGCGGCCTGGTGCTCCGAGCCGAAGGGATGTGCGTCAACACGTGACGTCCTTCTTTTGGATGCGGTGCGGTTGTGCGCGGGCGTGCCAGCACGGTCTACTGTGCGTCGAGATGATGATGAGGTTTGGGTAGAAGATGGTTAAATGTTATGCCTGTTTTGCGTTCGACTCCTAATCAAACGATTGTCGCCAAGAGAGGAACTGATCTCGACCGTCTGGTTCACGGCCTAAGCTACAAGGCCGTTTAGTGGTGGTGTTGGTAGCGGGTTTTAGGCGGTGCTCCGGCGCGTTGCTCAGAGAGCGACGGTCGTATGATATATGGGGTGAATGAAACGATAACAAAGATGGTGCTCCGGCGCCTTGAAAATCAAAGGTCGTATGATATATTGATGAATGGATTTTCCTTACAATCTACCACTACTCCTAGGAAAGCAAATAAAGGTATTGAAAGTGCATTATAGGAAAATATAATTTGCTCCGTGGGAGGCTTTTGGTTTGGTGTTTGAACCATTTGAATGTAGTCCTGAGCTTAGTATTTATAGGAGGAGTCTCAGGGGGACAATCGAGGTTGACAAGACCTGCGTGGTGGAGCCTGACCGGGGCAAGTGGGTAGTCAAATCGGCGTTTGGGATCGTGAAGCATGGTGGTTTGGGGTTGAGAAGCATGGTGGTGTGACCCCCATAAATCTCGGTAAATCTCGGCCACCGCCCTGATCGTGGGTTCTGCCCCCTTGGCCGTGGGAACGCATTTAATGCCTGGTTTGGTGGTTGGTGATCTGACCTCAAGTCGTAAGATTACTTGTGAGAATGTCTGCGCCTAACCACCCTGATTTCCATCACCAAATCCTGACTTCAGTCACTTCCCTTCTTCCCTTGTGCATTAAATGCTTCTTGCGACTAGTGGGTTTGCTACGAAAGTCAGAGGCATTAGTTCATTAAATGGGGCGTGGGACCCTGAGGCCACGTGGCGATTTAACCACAGCTTCTTCGGCCGTGTCTTTTATGGCCTTCGGCTTCGGCCTTAGACACTGCGGTCGCGAGGCCGAGAGGTATCTGCCTTTGCAGTTTTTCTTTTGTTCTCAGGAAGGCGAAATGCTTGACGAAACGGTAGGTGCCAGAGCCGAAAGGAAGTCCCTTCAATCTGTTTATGACCGTGATTTATTAGGCACAAACACCCACAAACAAAGCAACATCACCTAAGTTGTTTTTCTCAATCCACTCATGCTTATCAAAATTCAATTCGAAACTCTAAATCTCTTTGTCACACACCTACAAATTTCATAATTCATATAACGACGAACCAACAACAATTGTTTTTCATTTGAACCCACAAGATATGTCTTCATAAATTCTTCAGTTTTATAGCCTTGTGCAATCGTTTTTAGATATGAGCTGCATTGGTTAGTATATTCAAAAGCAAAAAGTAGGCTCCAACTGTGTGTAACAGCATACATTTTATCTTTAATTTGAGCAACATCTTCAAAAAATTTGAATCTCCCATCACCACTACTATCAATATAAGTCAATTCTTTATCTCTAAGTCTAGTAAAAGCCAATTGACAAGAAGGCTGATGTATTACCATAACAATATTAATGCAGTCATTTGCATTAATATTGGATCGGCCGAAATTGTCGCCTTGTAGACAAAATAGTTACTATGTTTAGCCCACCACTATTTGTTGCGTGGAGGATTTTAGCAGAGGAAGACTAATGACTGAATTTTCTCGCCCTCTTCTTAATGGATTTTTTAGGGTTAGTACAAAAAATTTATCCATTGCCATTTTACCATCCTTTTGGAATGAACAAAATCGCTTCTTCTCGAGTTGTAATTGCAATTTAAGAATCTTATCATTCATGACATCATATAAATTCCAAGTATCTATGAGTTTATTGGAAATTAAGAGCGCTGGAGTTGTCACCTTAGCATGGTGGTTTTATTCATCCTTTGCTACCTATGAGAACACATATTTTGGCAACCAATAGATGGGTGACACGTGAAAAAGGAATATTTCTTAGGACAACTGATTACCTTAATTAAATCCTATTTAATTAGGGAAATTATCTTTGATTTAAGATGAGAATATCAACCCAAATCAAGGATGAGATTTCCATAAATTCTCCTTGATTAATTCCAATCTCTTATTTATTGGTAAGAATAATCCTAACCAAATAAGGATTATTCTTCAAGCCCTATCACCAAGGAGCCTATAAATACATGGCTACACAAGACATTCAAGGTAACTTTTTCTCACTTGAAAAACCCTTTTCTTGCCTCCACTCTCTCTCCCCTGTCTCCCACACAGCTAAGTGCCACCACACACAGCTCGGCCACCCGACTCTCCTTGTGAGAGAAAACTCCATTCACTTTACCTATTGTCGTATCTTTATCAAGTTCCAATCGAACTAACTTAGGCATCAGAGGGCCTTTGGCGTCCCTCCGGGTGTGGTCTATTTACTCATATTTATTTCTTAGGGATCGAGGAAGAGAGAGAAGGAAAATTGAGGATCTAGGAATCAACCCACGAATATTGCCTATGCGGAATTTTGCTCAAACATATTTGGTGCATTCATTGAGATATTCGAGATATACTCAATGTGATGCTTTCTAATCCAAATTAAGGGAAATCCCCCCTCATCAATCGATTCAGCCATCGATCCAATGCCCTCAAGTCACCATGGTGAGAGGCCCTACCGCGAGGAACACAACGAGAATGACCACTGCATCACCGGCAAAATTCTCTCAAGCCACGCATGGGCGCTGTGACCCATGTTCTTTTTTTTTTCATCATGAAAAATCTATTTTTCTGTGGGACCAAAACAACCAGAAAATTTGGAATTTCATATACAAAGTTTTGGGTATTTACCAAAACCCCCACAAGCATGCCTCTGTATCATCTCCAAGCAAGCAATACATAAGAGAAAAAATGGTGATACAGAAAAAAAAGGAGAAATCGTGGAGTTGCTCCTCCCCCAGCTCCAACATCGAGCCAACTCATAACGTCAGGCCACAGATGATCCCTCAAAAGCTCAGTCCACCAATATGTCGTGTGGGCAGGACAGTCAAGGAGATTTACTTTGAAGAGACATCAAGGAGGTAGATCAGCGATGCCTGTGCCATAGGAGACATCAACATGAATCGTTAGCCACACGGGCAGAAGATGTCGAGAAACTTTTGAATGACCAACTTTGAGACTTGAAGATTGGATTAGATTTTGAAGGTAAACTGCGCAAGAAGGTGGACCAAGTGAACTACTAACCGTTCACCACTGAGATTGAACAAGCGGCCCCATCGAAACGATTCTCAATGCCTTCCTTCACACAGTTCAAAGTGGATCCCGATCCTGAGAGCCATTTGAAGCACTTCAAAAGTGTTATGATTCTCTACAAGACAGAGGATGCGTAGATGTGCAAGGTGTTTACGATGACCTTACACAGAGCAGCCCATGATTGGTTTCATACCCTACCGTCTAGGTTGATCAGCTACTTCAAGGAGTTGGCTTTCTTTTTCACCAATGAGTACACTTCCTATCGGACGATTAAGAAACAAGCCGACCACTTGTTCAATTGGCGCAAGGAGCATGATGAGTCCCTCCGAGACTACATCAAAAGATTCAAGGTGGAGAAAGCCAACATTGTGGGATGCGATGATCGAATCGCACCCTCTGCCTTCAAGAAGGGTTTACTAGCTGAGCACTATCGCTCCCAGCCAAACTTTGGTAGAGGTCTTCTCGACTGCGAAACACTACGCACTCTAAGACAACGATCGAATCGTTGCAAATAAGTCTGCTAAGCAAGCCGAACAACCACTCAAGGAGGCAGGACAGAGAGGTAAGCTCAGTAATAGGAACAATGGAAGGAAGCGCAACGCACCATCCCAAGGTGGGGTACCAGCAGATGACGGCTATACAAAGTTCACTATCTCGATACATCAAATCTTGGCCCAATTGAAAGACAAGCCTTGGTTGAGGAGACCACTAGCTTTAAAGGGAGATCCTGATAAGAGGAGTGTCAACAAGTACTGTGCCTTCCATAGAACACATGGGCACGACACAGCCAACTGCCGATCTTGGAAGGTGCACCTCGAAGAGCTTGTAAGAGAATGTCACTGCAAAGAGTTCGTGGCAAAGAAGGTCGTTCAGCATAACGAGGATCGCGATGCAGCTATGGATTCTCCAAAGAAGGTGTCACGACCGGATTCAAAATAAGGAATATTCCCGAATCATGGTGTGAGTCATACCATAGTCATAAGAATAAAATCCTACAACCATGATATTGTGAGAAATGGAGTCACAAATAATACAAATTTACTTAACAACACAGAATTATAGTCGGAGTAGCTTGTAGTTAAATACACACTAAGATCATTATCAAACGGTTGACTACTTACAAACATTAATTACACAACTCAACAACAAAAACCTAGCAGCTTAGTTGAAACCAGCTTCCTCAAACTTCATCTTGAATCCTACACAATCTATTAGGGTATGAGCATTCTAATGTCCAGTAGAGTACCGTCAAACCCCTCGAGGTCAGCTATCACAATTAATCAAAGTGTCATGCATCAAACAACACAAGATATATAAATTATGCAATCAGACCAGATAAATAAATTTGCATATGCGGTGATGCCATGAACTCACTCCCTTCTAATCCCATTAATTCATACCTTAGGGTAACAAGCCTGCATGTCCCATACCACGCATTTTACCACTATAGCTCTGAATACCCTAAAATATGAACTAGTGCCCATCCGTCCCTTAACCTATTTTATTTTGTTTACGAATTTCTCAACTTTCACTTTTCATTAAAGGCCATGTTCCCATCACCTTAATATATTCAAGCCCTGCTCTCATCACCTGAATAAATTCCACATTTTTTTTTACTCAGATATATCTAAGACCTTCCCCCACCCCTTAGATATACCTCAAATCACACACACACAAACCAACCCAACGTATGACCATAATTATGATGCATATGTAATGCAACTCAAACATTATCAATCTCTGCAAAATAGTAATACAGATAATTAACAAAAATATTTCAAGTTAACCCCATAAATAATAATATTCATCCAACGTCAAATAATATCTATGGAGCAATATCAATAATACTATTTACCCAACATCATATAATATTCATTAAACAATAATAATCGTATTCACCTAACATCAAATAATATTCACCAAGCAAAACAATTCATATTTATTATACTATATATAAACACCAAGATTAAAAGTGATATAGTCTAATCATTGGGGAATTAGGAAACTCTACCTCGTGTCCCAATTAGCTAAAATGACGAAATTAGCTAAAATGACGAAATTATCCTTCGGAGGTTGTCGGGTTCACTCCCGTTCCTAGATTTGAAAAATATAACATAAATGAGGTTAGAAATTCTTTCGCAACTAGTCAGAGCCTAGACTGGGCTTGTTTTCTGCAACTTCCCATGTTTTTTCCAGACTAAAAACCCAAACTTTGTGAGACGTTTTGACCAATCTAAAGTTAACGAAATTGGGCAAACATGAGTGGTTTTGAAGCTTTTGTTTTTTTACTCCCTCTCCCAGTCCGCCACACCCCCCCCCTCTTCCCCCTTGGGGGTGAGAGAGAGAAAGAGAGAGAGTATTATTTGTTTTCTGGTTTTTACTTTTTCAATTTTTATTTATTTTTAATGTACAAAATGACCACTTTGCCCTCATATTTAATGGCAAATTGGATGAAATGTTGCAAATTTAGACGGCAGGAGGGAAATTGGCGAAAAAAAGTTCATATCCTTAATTTTCTATATAAAAAAAGGATAGGGGGTCAATCAAAAGTTAGGTACAAGTTCAGGAAGCAAATCGCTAGTATACCCTTTACAAATAAATAAACGAAATATAGTACGAAACATTAGTAAATAAGTATTCTACATATATGAATCCATTTTGAGTCTCTAACGTAACTCATGTTGATGCCCAATACTAAAATTAACAAATACAATGTATCACTTACCTCGTAAGTGATTTTGAACTTCAAAATTTCAACAAATATGACAATGTCACCCTTTTAGATCTGAACGTCAACCCCAAAAACTTTTGACCTTCCTCAACCCCTGTTTCGACCGTTCTCAAGGATTTTAAAACCAAGAGAACATAACCACAAGGGTTGCGGTTACTAGTTTCCAACTCAACGCCACTTTCGACGTTGCTCAAGGATTGACGAATGTTCTAACCAGAAAGACCAAACCACAAAGATAAAAATATAAAATCGATGATTGCTTTGTTTCACCTAAATGAGCAAGCCAGAAAAATGAGTGGCATTCTTCAGTGTTCTTCCTCAAACAGAATATCAAAGCAGATAAAAAAATTGGCCTCCTAATTGAATAAAGCAAACATTTGTTTTGGAGGGGACGTCTGTTTTGGAGGGAAGAGAGAGAAGAAGGCCTCATTCTAGTACAGCAGTTTCACTTACAATTGCTTTTCACGTAGCCATTAGATTAGATCCAACGGTGTTATATAGGTGTTCTTACTAGATAACCGCCCCTAAAAGAATAGGATTACGGGTTTTATCTTTTTCATTCAAGGCCCTAAAAATTGCCTTACCCTTTTAAAATCCTACCCAAATCAAAACTCTCATGTAACAATTGCCTTACCCTTTTAAAATTATGGGAGTTTCACTAAAACGACTAAAATGGGGGTTGAAATTATAAAAAAACCCAAGCACTATTTAAACATATAAACACACCCAAAACCCATCATTACACACACTCAAAACCCATTTATAAACACACCCAAAAAGTTGACTTTGGGGTTGATTTTGGGTGTGTTTCTATGTTTAAATAGTGCTAGGGTTTTTTTATAAATACATGTCTAGGATTGGGTTTATTTATAAATTTGTATAAAATTATACCGTCAGTAGAAAACAAACTCTACTCCAAATCAAAGAAATCAAACGGTAAAAAATAAAAATAAAAACACTTGGTAATTTGAATCTTATCTAGTGAAATATACTCTTCTTCCAACTCATTATAGAATAAAATAAAATCTTGAAGCGTTTGTTGTATGTCTGATATATTCAACTTTTCCCCTCCCTCTTTCTCCTCCCTTCTCTGATCTCATTCATACCAATCTTTGAAACAAGTCTTCGTTTTCTATATTATCCCATCGATATGAAGGGGTAGATAAGAAGAAAAAGAAAATAGACTACTTATGCCGGTGGCCAATCTCATCCTTATCAATTAGTAATGGGGAAGTAGACCAAAATAAGCTCGTTATTCAATTAATGAAATTTTGTAGTTAATGGGGCAAGTTGTTTGATAAAATGACTGAAAGAATACTAAGGCAGGGCAAGGGAGGCAACCAGCTCCACTCCTTAGGTTATTCGTCTTGTTCTCTAGACTCACCTTTTTTTTTTTCTCTCTTTGTGTCAATTTAGGAACTAGGATGGGTAGAGTTTGTATTCCTAATTTTTGCTTGCATGGATATATTTATATAATTATATTTTTCTTTTTACATTTAATAGTTGATTGATCTTTATTATTAGGTTTCTCAGCTTTTCAATGTGAATTTCTTCACATTTTCACATGATGCATCTACAAAATTATATTGGGTCAAGTAAGAATCATTTAAAATTAATTGCTACAAACTCATCACATATGCAAAAGGTTATTGGGTAGCATAAAAGAGTGCTTGTTAGTTTCTTTCTTCTTTAGGATCGCCTTTTCCAAGAAAAAAAAATATTTTTTCATTGGCCCTTGTCAATAACCATGGATGAGATCATAGACAGAGGGAGGGAAGGAGAACAAAGATGGAAGGCAAAAGTAGGGAGAAAACAAAGATTAGAGGAGGAAGGAGAGAGGGTAAGAGGAACACGCTGAAAGATTATTATTAAAAGATCTAAATCAATAAAACACATAAATGCAAGGTTTAGTTGATATGACCGTTGAGGCCCAAAAAATCCACAGTTGAGCCCAAATAAATTCCTGGCCTAGTATAACACCTAACTTGGGAAGAAACCCAATCTGAGTACCCAAGAGTTCATCATATACACTTGCACATGTGCCACGCCAAGCAAATAAACAACACGCCATGCTACAAACTTAAGTGGGTCCAAGCCACGCAAATGCCCGGGGATTGCTTGAGTGGGTTGTGGTATGGATGGTAATGAATTGTCATGGGGCCCATTGATGGGCCGAGAAATGGAAGTCCCGGGTTGCTTGGAAACCCCAGAACTCAAGCCTATTTCTTAGGCCCAAATATGTGTGTAAGCACAAAGAGAGAAAAATAGCCCATTACTTCAACCAAAGTAGCCCATTAACTCAACCAAAATAGCCCAACTCTTGATAAGGTTAGTCCATTTACTTGGTAAATCAATTTGTTGTCTTAAAAGACCCATACAATTACAATAAGAACCTACAGAGCCTCAGCACTTGGCTGGAGAACAAAAGCCACAAAGGGAGGGAAGGGGGGGGGGGAGACAAGTTTCAAGCAAAAAAATCCAAATGACCAAGGGATATTGGCGCGTAGACTGCTAGGAGGGGAATCACCATTTGAACCAGCATGCATACCCATTTCTTTCCTTCATCAGACCTAGCCATGGAAGAAGGAATGAAAGAAAGGAAGGAGAAGGCTGGGAATAGAAGTTCTCTATTGAGGCAGCTGTGGGAAGAGCATTGAGCTCCCAAAAATCCCTGATTTTGTGAGATTGGGCAAATAAGATCTTGCCATAATAAGATAAGTCAAAAGAAGGGAGGAGAAAGGAAGGAAAAAGCTTGGCCAAATTGGATAGAAACCATTAGGAGTTCTTGGAAAATGATAGCTTCCAGCGGCTATAAAAGAGGCTTTTTCTACCCAATCAGGAACAAGACACATCTAGAGAGCAAGCTTCATCTCTCATCCCTAAAACTCAGCAATTTCGAGCCCCATCCTTCCATCTCTCCCTATTTTCCCTTTTGGTAAAATTTTCCAAAGTTTGACAGAGTTTTCGTCGAGCTGTAGGAAACTACCCAGAACACTCACTACTTCATCACTAGCTAAAAACAACCACATCCAGAAAGCAAGTTTCGTCTCTCACCTGCAAAACCCAGAAAATTCGTGCTCTATTCACCCTTTTCCCCTAGGAACACTTTGTTTTCTCTTCAGTGCTAAACTCATGACAATTTTGCTTCCATGCCACAAGCTTCTCATGCCAAGCTAAAAAATCTATCTGTAAGCTGTTGTTATTTTTTGTTGGTGAAGGTAACCAAGGTGTTTCCTAAGGCCCTACTGTCCTTTCGAAGTACTCTTGGGGCTTGATCTCTGAACTCAAGCACAGTGGATAACTTCATCAGTTCACTCCTTACGGCAGCCCAGCCCATTTGTAGCTGCCGGAAGAAAAAAAGCCCCTACAATGACATGAATACATCAGTTGTCACATAATACTAATACGGTTAATTTAGCGTGTCCAAATAGCATTACTGTTATTCAAACTTGTGTTTTGTGTGTTTGACCAATGATTTTCGATTTATCTATGTGTTGAATTGTTATTTGTTTGGGTTGAGTTGAGAAACAAAAAGGAAAAGGCCAAGAAAAAGAAAAAGAAAGGGTCTCAAATTAATATTTCAATTCGGCTCAAAACCCAAGACAATATACATTTTGGGGCATTCTCCAACAAGTATTTAAGTTAAGAATTAGTTACATACTTTAAATCCCGGGCATTGGATTGCATCTAACAGCCAAAATTAAAAGTACATAACCAATCCTTAACATAAAATACTTATTGAAGAATCTCTCATATAATTTAGTCCAAATTTTGTGAGAGGGATCATGAAAAACCTACTGCAACTAGTACCAATTTGAAAGGTATGTCATGAAGAACATCCGCAACTTGTGGGATTGCTCTATAAAACCCGTCATTCACAACTTGTTTCTCATTTGTGCGTGTTTGCATTTTGTTCCAAGTCTTTCTCCTCTCTCCAATTCCTTTCCTTGTTGGTTTTTGTTTTTAACATTCATCTCTTTTGACTTGTTTCTCAATTGTGCGTGTTGGAATTTTGTTCCAAGTCTTTCTCCTCTCTCCAATTCCTTTTATTGTTTGGTTTTTGTTTTCACCATTCATCTCATTTGTGCAATGGCTTACAGTTGCGATTTGTGTAATGAGACTTTCTTTGAACAGAGTGAAATGATTCACCACAAAAACAGGGGAAGTCTTGATGACACACTTCCGTGATGTTCATAAAAATACACAATGTGTGGAGAGAAAATGTGCAAAAATCCTATATACCCCAAACATGAGTCACATGTGAGTACGAGGAGACTTTGCGATTCAAATCTCTGAACCAAACAAAAAGAAAAAGTATGAATAATGCTCCAAATACTGACTAAACACACTTAAGTTGGACGAGACATGTTCGAACGGATCAATCTTGAACTGAAATAATTGCACTCCATATTCCTAATCCTCACCTCAAAAGAACACTGTCAATCCTTCTCAGAACCAAAAAACCCTGTCCATCGGATGGAGACATATGGGATCATGAATTCAGACAAGAACAAACTAAATTATTGGAGAATGTTCTCTTGCAGAACTGTAAATTTGGACAATTGGTCATGATACTTGTGTTTACAGACCGTAAAGTTGGACCACCGATCAAGTTGTCTCTTGCCTAAATGCGTGAAAGTGTGGTCAAAATTCACAGTTGACAACATAAGATTTCGAATGAATGATCAGAGGATACTATACACCGTAGGAGGTCAACAAACCTGCAAAAACCAGATATAACCTTAACATGATGACAGGGCATAGTACACTGGTGGGTTACTCAATAATGAATTCAATTGGATTCTCTATCCTACAGATTGGGATTGAACAGGCAGATAAAATGGTGCACAAGTGCGAGAACTTGATAGAGCATGCTGCATGTTTGTCTAAATTCTAATTTATGGGCCACCTACAAGTCTCTCAAAATAGGCCATCCTTTTTTAATAATTTCATTGATCTTTGCATCAATCTGCCTCTGAATTTTTGGAGGACAAAGCTCTGCAGCATAGCCATTCAGTTTTGCAGCCAATCTTGACCTCTCAAGTTCCTCTTCAGGCAAGTTTCCAATTAATTGGAGAAGAAATGGCCTACGCTTCAGCTCAAACTTCTGCAATTTAAAAACATGTTAGCTAAGGATTCAAAAAAATTTAGGATCTAGTTCAAAAGATCTCTTTTTTTTTGTTTTTTCACATCTCCAAAGAGCTCCAGTTCAAAACCTGCTCTAAAATTTAGAGAGAAATACAGGAGACTCCCTTAGGCAAGTTGACGACGAGGAAAGATTGACAATACAAAGATCTGAAACAACATTCCCTCTTAAAGAGTTTTGGGAGAAGAGAAAAAGGATATTGAGTTGTACCTGATGTTCAGGCTCAGCAGAATAAAATGTTCCAAGTGGTAGGATTTGAGTAGTTACACTGCTACTCTTTGATTTAGTTTGTTCTCTCTCTTTGCTCACAGCAGCCAATCTGGACTCTTCAGTTCCGTTTGTGAAAATGATAGATCTGTTTATATATGAAAAAATCTCACTAAGGACTCTTAAGTTATGAGTTTATGTTATGCAAGAAACTGCTGTGTGCTGTCATAACTTTTACCTGTATTGGTTACCCACATCAGGACCTTGCCCAAATACTTGCCTATAATCATGACTTGACCAGAAAATCTCCAAAAGTTGCCTAAAGCTAATCAGCCTGTGATCGTATATAACCTGCTCAGGATTTACAGAATTACACATGTGACTGAAACATTCAAAAAGAGCGTAAAATGTATGTAAACATAAATGATAAGTAGCCCACAAAGTAAAAAACTGCAGGGATTCAACTGCTCTTAAACTTTACAAGAAACAAAAAGACACCAGTTGGAGATAGTTTCATTATATTCAAGCCAAAAAAAGAAAGGTAAAAAACCCATTCATGAAAATCTAAAAGCAACAGGAAAATGGAAGAGAGACCTGGACAGACTCAGCATGATCACCCAAGCTTCTGTACTCAGGGTTGATTTTGGATCCGCCAGCGTAACCGACAGTGGTCTGAACAACCCCATTCAAGCACCCAAAGACAGCTTCAGATCTCCAAAAGCTTCCCAGAGCGAAAACTGCTGTTTTCAAGGACTGGTTGTTGGGTACGTCTCCTGCGGTTTCAATGATCCGTTCTGGGATCCTGATGCAGACCCGCCTCTCGGCTGCTAGAATAATCAGGAGCATCAGCGTTGCTAGTAGACGGCTAAGGGAAACGCTGCTGCCAAGAAAAGCCATTGGCTTTGTCTGAAAGAGGAAGGCATGAGACTTTCTGCGTTTGGTTAAAATTTCCAAGATGTTATACAATGAATAAAAAATAAAAAATCAAGAGAATTAGAATAGAAGATAGGAAACTGATATCATATAGAAAATGCCCCTTTTTCGAAGTTACAATGTTTTTACAAAGTTGATAACCAAGTTTGAGCACACCTCAACTCCTCCAATGTGTTTGGATTCGCTCACCCCCTACGAATTCTGATCTGGATCGAGCGTACCCAATCGCAGTACGGTATCGATCTGGATCTGGAACGAAAGATTTAACGACTCAGTTCCAGAGGAGAGAACAGTACCTGATAGAGGACGTCGCTGCTACAGAACAGAACCTGACCGCCGACAGCAGACGAGCAATCGAGGGCACATGAGGGAGAGTGCTATAGCTGATGAGCTCACGTTCGATTATTGGTCTCTTTTTTCTTTTCTTTTTTTGGTCAATTATTCCTGTTCTCTTGGCATATAAGGGGAAGGAACATATTGGGTTCGAATAGATTCGAAGAGGAGGGATGGGTGTTTATAAATGGATAGGCGTAAGAGCAGTTCCGGACAGCCCGGCCCAGGCAAAAGGCCCCTGATCTTCCAAAATAAGCTCCAGCAGTGACATACAGTCTGGGCAAGAGCTGGGGTCCATAAAGCCAGGGCAAGGCCCAAGTCAAAATAGTTTGAGCTGTTGTCTGAAGGAGCTGACATCAGCGAAGAATTTTTTTTTTAAAATTGAAAACAAAATTCTGAAAAATTATCAAAAAATTCAGAATTTTTTTTATACATACCTAGAAAAATTTTATTTATTAATCTCATACATATAAATAAAATTAATCTTATTTGAATAATAATTGCTTTTGGGTTACCATGACAATGGATGGAAAAGTACCAAAAAAATTAGGCTTAATTATGTACATGCCTCCTGTGTTTTCCAACTTATCTCATATTACCACATGTGTTTGCAAACGGCTCAAAGTATCCCCCAACGTTTAAAAAACCGTCTCACGTTACCATTTCCGTCAGTTTTTTGAAAGTTTCGTTACGAACATTACTGTTCATCCCCCCCCAAAATTCCAGAATAGCAACCCATCCCCTTTGTTATTGTTCATCCGACCAGTTTTTGGACTGTCATCTCCTCCTCCGGCCACCCCAAGTGACGACATGGGCATCAAAAGAACCAGCACGTTGTCCTCTACCACCCTCACATCTCATCCGCTACCAACCGCCTTCTGGATTGACGAAAAAAGCAAGAAATTGGCCGATTTTTACCCAAAATCTCCATATCTCGTTCGGGCGATTTTGAGCACCATTTGCTTCGATCCAGGTATGGTTTTTCAACCTCTCGAGTTGTTCTTGCTGCTAGTTGTGTTGGTTATGAGAAATTTCTGAGTTTTGTAGGGTAAATAAGCGATGAACAGTAACAAAAGGGATGAGCTGTTGTTCTGGAATTTTGGGGGGGATGAACAGTAACGTTCGTAATGGAACTTTAAAAAAACTGACGGAAAGGGTAACCTGAGACGGTTTTTTAAACGTTAGGAGGTACTTTGAGCCATTTGCGAACACAGATGGTAATATGAGATAAGTTGGAAAGGACAGGGGGCATGTACATAATTAAGCCAAAAAATTAATAAGGCGGATACTATTCACATAAACAGTAACCGCCCTTCCTTGCCCTTATCTTTTGCCATGACAAATGGTTGGAAGTGTTCTAAGAGAGAACGTACTAGAGGTTGGCCGGGTGTGTATGTCAATATAATAAGATGAATGCTACCAATATTTTCTCTAACCTTCTCTTTTTGACCTTCTCCCTTCTCTTCATGATAAGTGTCACTTTCCTTACACTTAAAACAATGTCATTAATGCATCACACAAGTTAATTTTTGTTTTCCAAGTTTACCCTTATTAAATGGCTTAATTATGTACATGCCCCCTGTGCTTTCCAACTTATCTCAGATTACCACCTGTGGTGGAAAACGTCTCAAAGTACCCCCAACGTGCAAAAAACTGTCTCACGTTACCCTTTCCGTCAGTTTTTTTGAAGTTCCGTTACGAACGTTACTGTTCATCTCCCCCAAAATTCCAGAACAGCAGCTCCTCCCATTTGTTACTGTTCATCGCACCAGTTTTTGGGCTGCCATCGCCTCCTCCGGCCACCCCAAGCGACGACATGGATATCAAAAGAACCAGCACGTTGTCCTCTACCACCCTCACATCTCAGCCGCTGCCAACCGTCGTCTGGATCACCGAAAAAAGCAAGAAATTGGCCGGTTTTTACCCAAAATCTCCATTGCTCGTTCGGGCGATTCCGAGCACCATTTTCTTCGATCCAAGTATGATTTTTCAACCTCTCGAGTTGTTCTTGCTGCTAGTTGTGTTGGTTAGGAGAAATTTCTGAGTTTTGGAGGGTAAATAAGCGATGAACAGTAACAAAGGGGAGGGGCTACTGTTCTGGAATTTTGGGGGAGATGAACAGTAACATTCGTAACGGAACTTCAAAAAAACTGACGGAAAGGGTAACGTGAGACAGTTTTTTGCACGTTGGGGGGTACTTTGAAACGTTTTCCACCACAGGTGGTAATCTGAGATAAGTTGGAAAGCACAGGGGGCATGTACATAATTAAGCCTTATTAAATTGGTTGGTAATGTCAATATGCCCAGCTGTGTGTTTAATTTCCAGTGTTCCTGTACGAAATAATTTGTTCATCTTTTGAATAATATGCTATGTGCTTTTAATCTCATGCTTGCTCGAATATATTTATTTTCTTGGATATCTATATTGCTTGAAACTCTACAAGAAAAACAACTATTAGTAGCAATCCCAAATGCTGTTCATTGAAAAAAAATTAGCGACTTCCTTTATCAGTCATTGATGAAAATTCAATATATTCGTGATCGCGAGTTTGATCATCAATTCAAAAGGGTCACTGAAACACGGGTCACTTCGCCTATATGTTACTGACCCATCTATTTGGTCATTGAAACACAGGTCGATCACGTAAATGTATGAGGGTTCAAACTCAGAAATCCATAGTCTCCTCTAGATAAAATTTTAATACTCAAAAGTAGTATAAATAAAACAATGCAGTCCAAAAGCTATGCATGTATCAACATTCCTCCAGCAAACACAAGACCTAATCTTTCTCATAAACAAAATCCTAGTTCTAGGATATATACTAACCATGAACAATTAGAGGGTATTTTGCTGAGCCTGTAAACTTGCTGAAAAAAATTATTTTGTTGAACACTTGGGGAGTAGTGTCTTATTTTGATAAATACTCTTAGGCAGTATGAAACCTTCAATAGTGTTCAAACACTTGGGATTAGTGTCTTATTTTGGTAAACACTCCTAGCCATTAGGCAGCCACAAATAGTGTTCAATTTTTTTTATTTATTACTACTCGTAAAAAGCTTTGGACACTTCAACTTCAACTTTTAAGGAATAGGCAAAAACTTCAACTTGTAATAGGCAACACCAAGTCCTTTCTATTGTCTCTAGAAATTTTATTTCATGAATATTAGAGCATCTCCACCCACAAGGGCTAAGTCTAAGGCAATGGCAAGCAAGGGCTGCCACTATTCACGTGAATAGTGTCAGCCTTTGCATTTGTGATTCCACCCACAAGGGCAAAGTCTAGGGCAAGTCTAAGGCAATTACTATTCATTGTACTTTATTTCCTATTTTTTTATACTTTAAAGCATTAATTTTGATAATCTTTTGTAATTAAATTTTCGGATAAGATTTTCACCCTCTAAAATTGTGCCACGTGTCCCATGTCAGATACGATTTTCAGATATTGAAAAAAAAATTATAATATCAGATTTCAGATCAAATTTTCACCCTCTAAAATTGTGCCACGTGTCCAATGTCAGATAAGATTTTCAGATATTTTTAAAAAATTATAATCTCATATTTCAAATAAGATTTTCACCCTCTACAATTGTGCCACGTGTTAAATGTCAGATAAGATTTTCAGATATTTAAAAAAAATTATAATCTCATATTTTAGATAAGATTTTCATCCTCTAAAATTGTGCCACGTGTCATCTCTATCTTCTAAATCCCTCTATAAAACTACACCATCAACTCATACCTCTCACACCATCTCTTATCTATTCCTTCATTTCTCAGATTTTAGAAAACACATTCTACTCTCAATGTCAAACTTGTCGAGGGTGTTGGAGAGGCAACAGAAACAAAGGGAAGAAATCCGGCGTAGACGTGCTCAAGAAGATCGGGACGCCGATGAAGAAGAGGAACAACTGCTTGCAGCAGCGGTGTGTATGATGGATCAATCAAGGCAACACCGTCGTCGTCGTGCCCCGAATGTGGACAGACGTAGGGAGTCTCGGGGTAAGAATCTCATGGAGGATTATTTTATCCCAAATTCGTTATATCCTGCTTCTAAGTTTCGAGAAAGATATAGAATGCAGCCACATTTGTTCCAAAAAATCATGCATGATATTTGTAATTACGACACATACTTCATTCAAAAGCATGATGCTGTTGGAGCTTTGGGTCTTATCCCGGAGCAAAAACTTACAGCTGCTTTGCGGATGTTTGCTTATGGGGCATCTGCAAAGCAGGTGGATGAGATTGTAAGGATGGGAAAATCTACTGTCCTAGAGTGCTTGGTGAGATTCTGTGATGCAGTGGAAAATTTGTACACGAGGGAGTACCTTCGCAAACCCACGCCAAGAGACCTGCAACGGCTTCTACAAAAAGGCGAGGCTCGAGGTTTCCCAGGAATGATTGGAAGCATCGATTGCATGCACTGGCAGTGGAAGAACTGTCCTACTGCTTGGCAAGGGGAGTACGGGAATCGGAAGGGCCAAAAAAGTATAATTTTGGAGGCCGTAGCTTCATTCGATTGTTGGGTTTGGCATGCCTTCTTCGGGGTTGCCGGATCTCAGTATGACCTCAATGTCCTTGGTCAATCCCCAGTGTTCAACGAGGTATTGCGAGGTCATTCCCCCCAGGTCACGTACCAAATCAACAATACCGTTTACTCTGGTGCGTACTACCTTGCCGACGAAATTTATCCTAGGTGGACGACATTCGTGAAAACAATTCCGAATCCCCAATCCGAGAAGGAAAGAAACTTTGCTTCCTTTCAAGAAGGTTACAGGAAAGACGTGGAGAGGTGTTTCGGTATCTTGCAAGCTCGTTGGGCAATTATTAGAGGTGCTGCTCGGATGCTAGATGAGGAGGTGCTGCGGAGTATTATGATGACTTGCATCATCCTTCACAACATGATTGTGGAGGATGAGTATGACTATGATGCTCAAGAGGTGTTTGAACCCGATCCAATGAACACATCGTTGACAAGAATATATGAAAGGCCGATTGGACCAAATGGACTACCACTGGAGCCCGAACCCTTACTTCGGGATGGTCAATTCAACAACCCCATGATTGATCGGTATCAAGAAATGCAATCTTCATATGTTCACGAGATACGTCAAGGTGACTTGGTTGAGCACTTGTGGGAGATGAAAGGCAATCACAATGGATGAAGTCAAGATTAGTGCTTTGTTTGGAATTATGCTTTATTTTGTGTGTGGTTTTTTTTGGAATTATGCTTTTTATTATTATTCTTTTATGTATGGTTTGTTTTGTGTGTTGTTTGCAATAAATGAAGGTTTTTTTTAATTAATATTTGTTTTGATGCTCAAATGTTTTTAATAAAACGTCATTTTATTTAATGCTTTTTTTATTGAATAAAAAGGAAACAATACAACAAATTAAAGGATAATACAACAATACAACATATGGCAAAGGTGTTTCAATACAACCTAATGGTTTTCATCATTTAACCAATCCGTATTACTAGGTCCGTCGTCATGGAAAAGTTTTTTTCTCATCACATCTCTTCGTCGTAGCTTCCAATAGGCCTTTGTTTCGGGAGACATATGGCTCGTATCCATGGCCATGATTTTCATCTCTCTATCCTCTATGTCTTTTTCTTGTGCCATTTGTTGTTGCATAACAAATGCTTCCTCTCGTGCCATGTCCATTTCATCTCTTTTCAAGTCTCTCTCCATTCTTAGTGAGGTGCTCTTAGCTATTTGCTCCAATAATTGTACACATTCATTGGTCGAAGTGCCCCCTCTCTTGGCCTTTGCCGCCTTTCTCCCAATAGGTCTCGGCGGACGTGGCACAAATGGTGACTCCGTTTCCATTGGGGAGTCCAATGGAGAATCGGTTGATGTCGAATCGTGGAGTGGCGTCTCATTCATCACAACCGGCGGACCGGTGGGAATAATTTTGAATCTCGAACAATCCTTCACAATTTCCCAACAATGGAAATGCACGAAACTTTTTTTGCCTTGCCCCATGGCACCGAACCACATTTGTGCTTGTATCATCTATTAAAAATAAATAATTGGAAGTGCAAGAAACAAAAATTATTATGCAAGAAAATATAAACTATTTTGAAATGCAAAAATAAAATTGATTATGCAAGAAAATATAGACAAATTAAAGGTGCACCAAGAAAAAAAAATTATGCAAGAAAAACAAATAGAATATGCAATAAAAAAAAAGTGACATTGAATTGATTAAAATGGCAATTATAAATATTTTACCTCATCGGTCAAATTTTGACCGCTTTGAATGTTCGCCTTTGCTTTTGTCAAGGCATTTCTCCATTTCCCTAACTTTTTATTCAGAAGTTTCCATCTACTAGACAACGCCATTTCGGTCCGAATAGAACCCGATCTTTGACAAAATTCTCCATGAATTTTGCTCCACATGTGATGAAACTTCATCTCATTGCCCGTGATAGGGTCATGACTAATGTTCACCCAAGATTGACACAACGCAATATCTTCATTCGTTGACCACGAGCCTCCGACTTCAATAGAAGATGCCATTCGTTTTTTTATACAAATGGAAAGTAGTAGAAAAATGTGAGTGAAGAGTAAAAAATATTGGAAGGAGAAGAGTTTGTATGGAGAATTGGTGTGGAAGTGAAAAATGTGAGTGGAGATAAAAAAATATTGGAAGGAGAAAAGTTTGTATGAAGAATTGGTGTGGAAAGTGAATAATGTGAGTAAAGAGTAAAAAATATTGGATGGAGAAGAAATTGTATGAAGATTTAGTGTGGAAAGTAAATAAAATGGTTAGGTATTTATAGAGAAAAAATACAGAATTTTTGGGTATTTTTTAAAAAAAAATTCAGAATTTTTTCGATTTTTTTTGCAATTTTTTTAGCCAAAAAAACGAGGACCATCGGATTTCTGGAAAAAAGCTATTCGAGAGTCCCCGTCGCGCCACGTGGCAAACGCCCGTTGAAGCTGTCAGGTGGTGACGTCAGCGCTGGCGTCAGCGTGGCGCCAGCGCTGACGTCACCAAACTCGGGCTTCAGCCCGGGCAAGACTTGCCCTTGGGCTTCCTCGGGCTCGTGGGACCCACCACGAAACCGGGCTACGGGCCCTGTGCTGGAGCCATCTCGGGCTCTCTCTGACAACCTTTCACTCAGTTTGGGTTGGGCGCTGGAGGTGCTCTTATAGGAGACTAAAATTCGTCCCCTATAATAATCAGGAACGATTTACGTCTATTTTCTTTCGGTGATACACAACGACAAGAAAGTTGTTGAGGAAGAGAAAAGGCAACAACTTTCCTTAAGACAGACAACAAATCGTAATAGTGCTTGAGCAACAACTTTGTTATTTTGTTGCATATTCCATTAGGACACGGACATACTACAATGATGTTTGCAACGATAATTTTTTGTTGACTGTATGTTTAGGTAACAAATTTTGACATTTGGCAACAACTTCCCATTGTTTCCGAATGGATTATTTGTTATTTTGTTATTTTTATTTTTGTAGCTAGCAAGTCCTAAATTAGATATTACCTGATCCATATGATATCAATCCTCAAGGAACATGACAAATAAGAAATTTCCAAAGAACATAAAAATAAGATCCATCGTTTTGATCATTAGTTGAATCAATTCCCATGTGAGGGGGGGTGTACAATTTTTGACACTTCTGCCACTTATTTGCTTAAAAGAACATCAATAATATTAATCATAGAGTTCAAAAGGAGAGTTATATTGCATGCCATAAATTCACTTCAGAGTTCAAGACATTCAATATTTTTTTTTTTTTTTTTTTTTAAATGATAATTCCATTTCATTCAAAAGTAAAAGAGGATACACCAATTACCAACGAATTAATTAACCATAAAGGGGGAGATCCCTCCCACTTACTCAGACCTTGGGTTTTGGACGCAAAGGCAGCAACTAAATCTGCCACCTTATTAGTTTTGATCATTAGTTGAATCAATTCCCATGTGAGGGGGGGTGTACAATTTTTAATTACTTGTAATTACTTGTCATAATCTGCCAATCGATAACCTGCCAATAACTTGTTGACATTTTGTTAACTTTTGTTATTTCAAATTTTGCATATCTGTTAAATGATGGATGTCTTACATTTAGAAAAATTATATATGGGTATATTTGTAAATTATTGGTTTTGTTTTTTTGTTTTACTTATTCAATACAGCGGAGGCAGCTAAGTACTGGTGGATTCGTAAAGAACTTGTAATCTATGATAGCATCACGAAGGTTATCAGCACCTTGATTCTCTACAACGATACTGTCAATCAGCAGCCCGTCATTAAGTGCGATTCAAATAACAAGGAGGTTTGCTCTTGTAACACAGTGCTTAATAATGCTAGAAACACCGAAGATGTTCACCAAATTATATATTACAAATTTATAAATAAACCCAATCCTAGACATATATTTATAAAAAAACCCAAGCACTATTTAAACATAGAAACACACCCAAAATCAACCCCAAAGTCAACTTTTTGGGTGTGTTTATAAATGGGTTTTGAGTGTGTGTAATGATGGGTTTTGGGTGTGTTTATATGTTTAAATAGTGCTTGGGTTTTTTTATAATTTCAGACCCCATTTTGGGTGTTTTAGTGAAATTCCCATTATATATTTACTAAATGGCGTGGTTATTCAATTTAAACTTTCTTTAGTACTGTTAACAATAATAACTGAAGTTTATAAAGTGATAAATTTGGTAAATAAAGTGACCCTAGTGTTTTGGCGGTCTCTAAAAGATAAAATTAAAAATGAAAACTTTGCTTGATGGATGATCAACAGATCGGTGGCGATACATTTATGGATGAGGTGAGGGGGAAATATGTGTTGTTTTATATCTCGAGCCTGGAAAATATATCGAACGAAGAACTTTCGCTGCTCAAAAATCTGTACAAAAGAATTGATGAAGAGTATAAATGCAAGATTGTGTGGATCCCCTTTGAGGGTGACTGGACGACTGAAGCCCAAAAGAAAGAGTTGCAGTTTAAGAAATGGAAGGAGCAGATGCCGTGGTACGCAGTGCAGTATTTTCCCTCAGCATCATACATGTACCTCAAGAAAGAGTGGAGTGTCAGGGGAAATTCCACAGCGGTGTTGATCAACCCCCAAGGAAAGGTTGAAAACACCAATGCGCTTACCTCGATTAAGGAATTTGGTATCCATTTCTTTGATTTCCTGGATATTAACACAGTGCTTAAGCCAGTAGTGCATCGTATTTTGAAGGACAATGACCAACTTCTAAACTTGGTACGAATTTATTAATCAATGATATTATTTGCATTTGTTGATCACTTTGTTGACCAACTCTCTAATAAAAGTGAAACCCACTAATGTATGTGGGACCTACCTGTATTAAAGAGGTGGTCAGTAAATGTGATATAAATAGCAGCACTTTGTATTAATTGTGGAATATTTAATAAGTAATTATTCCGTTAAATGTGCTGCAACAGATGGAAAACCAAGGGTACACTTTCTTCATTGGAGGCAAAAACCAGAAAAGGGCCTCTGACTTGCTCAGCAAGATAACAAAAGCAAAGCTTGCCATTGATAATGCACTGAAAATACAGATTGGGTTAGCTAGTGTTATAGAAGAATCGGAGACTGCAAAGGCTTTCTGGTTCGCCATGGAAAGCCTCTTATTTAGCTTGGCTCACTCTAGCAAGGAGTACGAGTACAAGCAGTTGACAAAAGAAGTCCACAAGCTACTTTCTTACAAATTTCACAAAGACGATATCGACGGATGGATTATGCTTACCAAAGGATGGACTGTGGTGACCTGTGGTCAGGCTAACACTATTGTCACAACCCTAGAGAAATTTTCTATCTGGAAGCAACACATAATTGGGGAGGAATGGGGACATGCTTTCACCAAGTACCATGACAGTTTTATAACTGGGAAAAAAGGACTCTCCTGCATCACCTTTCAGATTGCTGGAAATGCCCCAATGCACTTGGACTGCCCAGTCTGTGACGACCCCATGGAGATTAAGTTGGTCAAATATAACTGCTGCCACCCTCGTCTGCAGAATGCTGCCAATTAAACAATGTCGTCGTCATCAAATATCCATGGCTTTGTGTCCTTAGTAAAAATGAAAGCTTTTCCGTGCTGTTTTTGTTTGTGTGTTTCTGCTATGTCTGTAATTGGTTAAATAACGGGCAATGTCGTTGTCATTACATTAGTAACGTCAGTCTGATGCCCGGCTGTGTATTTAATTTCTAGTGTTCCGTACGAAATAAGTTGTTCATCTTTTCAATAATAAGTTGTGTGCTTTTAATTTCATGCTTGCTCGAATATATTTATTTTCTTGGATTTCTAGCTATATTATTGCTCGAATATATTTATGTTCTTGGCTTATAATTTGGTCACTGAAACACGAGTCACTTTGCCTATATATTATTGACCCATCTATTTGGTCATTGAAACACAGGTCATGTAAGGGTTCCAACTCAGAAATCCAGTCTCCTCTAGAAAAAATTTTAATATTCAAAAATAGTATAAATAACACAATTCCAAAAACTATGCATGTTTCTAGCTAGTACTAGGATATATACTAAGAGCACTTCCATCCAATTGTTATATATGTTTTATGTTTGCAATTTGAATTATGAATTAGCATATATGATTTTTGGTGTCTACAACTTCCAATTTTTTCCGAATTTTGATGTTTGGCAACAACTTCCAATTGTTTCCGAATGGATAGATTTTTTTATTTTTTTTTTGGTAGCTAGCGATTCCTAAACTAGATGTCACATGATCCATATAATGCCAATCCTCAAGGAACATGACAAATAAGAAATTTCCAAGGAACATAAAAAATAAGAGCCATCGTTTTGATCAGTAGTTGAATCAATTCTGTTAAGTGTATGCATTTTGATTTTTTTCTTTTAGCTTTCCTTGACAATATTGTAATACACTACTACAAAACAACCCTTGTGCGACCAAATTTTGCGCGACGAATAATTTTTCGTCGCGCAAAGACACTTTGCGCGACGAAACTCAAAACTCCGTCGCTAAAAACCTTGCGCGACCAACTTTTGCGCGACGAATTTTTTTTCGTCGCTCAAAGCGACTTTGCGCGACCAACTTTTGCGCGACGACAATACGTCGTCGCTCAAAGTCTTGCGCGACCAAATTTTGCTCGACGAAAAAAAATTCGTCGCTCAAAGTAACTTTGCGCGACGAAAAAAAATTCGTCGCTCAAAGTAACTTTGCGCGACGAAAAACAATTCGTCACGCAAAGCTACTTTGCGCGACGAAACAATTAACTTCGTCTCGCAAAGTCCTTATAAAAATAAATAAAATAAATAAAATATTTTTAAAATATTTGTTAGAAAAATATATTATTGTTTTTTGGATTGGGTTTTTATTAGAAAATATATTTTTTAAATTGACGATCGAATTAGTTCATTGTATTCATATAGGGTCAAAGAGTGTAGCTATAAAAAAATCATCAAAATCGGAGTTAAAATAACCGTTAAATCGTGATTTTTCATTTATAACCGTCGAAAAGTTTTGTCCAATTACTTGATCTCTGAATGTTTATTTCTTCCGATTTTTAGCGTATATGATCTCGAAGTATAAACAAACAAGTTTGACGGTTGGATCGTTCAAACTAGTTTCATAGAATGCGTATGCCATCAAAACAATATATTCACTAACAATTAAGAGTTTATTTATACTTTTGTTAAATATAACATAAGATTTTGTGGTATCCACTAGTGTAAATATTTTAAATTGAAGATCAAATTCAGTCATTGTATTCATATAGGGTAAAGGAGTGTAGCGGTAAAAAATCATCAAAATCGGAGTTAAAATAACCGTTGAATCATGATTTTTCATTTATAACCGTCGAAAAGTTTTGTCCCGTTACTTGATCTCTGAATGTTTATTTTTTGCGATTTTTGGCGTATATGATCTCGAAGTATAAACAAACAAGTTTGACGGTTGGATCGTTCAAACTAGTTTCATAGAATGTGTATGCCATCAAAACAATATATTCACTAACAATTAAGAGTTTATTTATACTTTTGTTAAATATAACATAAGATTTTGTGGTATCCACTAGTGTAAATATTTTAAATTGAAGATCAAATTCAGTCATTGTATTCATATAGGGTAAAGGAGTGTAGCGGTAAAAAATCATCAAAATCGGAGTTAAAATAACCGTTGAATCAAGATTTTTCATTTATAACCGTCGAAAAGTTTTGTCCCGTTACTTGATCTCTGAATGTTTATTTTTTGCGATTTTTGGCGTATATGATCTCGAAGTATAAACAAATAAGTTTGACGGTTGGATCGTTGAAACTTGTTTTTTTGAATGCGTATGCCATCAAAACAATATATTCACTAACAATTAAGAGTTTATTTATACTTTTGTTAAGTATAACATAAGATTTTGTGGTATCCACTAGTGTAAATATTTTAAATTGACGATCGAATTAGTTCATTGTATTCATATAAGGTCAAGGAGTGTAGCTGTAAAAAATCATCAAAATCGGAGTTAAAATAATCGTTAAATCGTGATTTTTCATTAAGAACCGTTGAAATTTTTTGTCCCGTTACTAGGTCTCCGAATGTTTGTTTTTTTACAATTTTTGGGGTATACGATCTTGAAGTATATACAAACAAGTTTGACGGTTGGATCGTTGAATGGTGTGTGTATATATATATATATTTACTTATTAAGTAGCTTTAAATTTATTTATTTTGTACGTATAACACTTAAGAAATTGGTATATACATTTATTAAGTAGCTTTAACCTTATTTATATTTTAAATCGTAAAAAAAATAAATTTATTATTCATAACAATTATTTTTATAAATATCGTGCTATGAACCAATTTTTCGTCTCTCAAAAGTTTGCGCGACCAACAATTCGTCGCGCAAAACTTTAAAAATTTGGGTGAGTACCAAAAATGGGACGGGGGAAAACTTTGCGCGACCAATATATATTTTCGTCGCGCAAAAATTTGGCGGGTACCAAAAATGGGACGCGGGAATTTTTTTATTTAATTTTTTTAGACTTTGCGCGACCAATATATATTTTTCGTCGCGCAAAAATTTCAAAATTTGGGCGGGTACCAAAAATGGTTTTTTTTTTTGACTTTGCGAGACCAATATACTTTTCGTCGCGCAAAGCTTTGCGCGACCAACAATGTCGTTCGTCGCGCAAAGTGATACGGTTTTTAAAATAAAATAACTCCTCCATCATTTTCTCAATGTCTTTCTCTACTCTTTCCTCTCCTCTCTCTTTCCCTCTCCCCAAATCTCACCATTTCTCTCACTCTCACTCCTCTCACTTAATCTCTCATCATCTCTCTCTTCACTATCTCTTACTCTCACTCACTCTCTCATCTCTCTTTTCACTATCTCTCACTCTCACTCACTCTCTCATCTCTCTATCACTATCTTCTCTAATTCTCTCACACTCATTTCTCTCTCTCATTCTCACTCACTCTCAATCTTGCCAAAAGGTAGATTCTCTCCAAATTTTAATTTTTTTTCATTAATATGTGTTTTTGGAGTTAGTTTTGAGTTTGTGTGGGGTTTGGGGTTGAGTAAAGGGGAGGGATTGGAGTTTGGGTTGGATTTGTGGTATAACAATTTTAGGGGAGATTATCCCTTTTTTTTATTTATTGTACTTTGTTAATTTATGTGTACATTTTGAATATTATATATATTTATTGGATAATTTGATCACTATTTTTCATATGTAATTTTATTTTGAATATGTCAATTTAAATTAAAGTAATTAAATTAAATTTAAAAAGTAAACATTTGAATAAATTAATATAATTAAATTAATATCAATTTAAATTAAAGTAACGAAAAAAATCATACAATTAAATTTAATTTAAAAATTAAAAATTCGAAATAATTAATATAATTAAATTAATATTAAAGAAATAATAAAACAAAAAGTCAAAACCAAAATATTTCGTCGCGCAAATATTTGCGCGACATTAATATTCGTCGCGCAAAACTCTAAAAATTTGGGCGGGTACTAAAAATGGGACGAGGGAATTTTTTTTTAAAAAAATTTTAAAATTTTTTCGTCGCGCAAAGTTTTGCGCGACCAATATTTTTCGTCGCGCAAAGTGGCTTTGCGGGACAAATATTTTTTCGTCGCGCAAAGTCGCTTTGCGCGACCAATATTTTCGTCGCGCAAAGTTACTTTGCGCGACCAATATGTTTCGTCGCGCAAAGTCACTTTGTGCGACCAATATTTTTTCGTCGCGCAAAGTCTCTTTGCGCGACGAATGAAAAAATTTCGTCGCGCAAAGTCTTTCTCCACAATCTTTGCGCGACGAAGTTTCTGTCGCGCTAAAATTTGTGCGACTATAATGTATTTTGCGCGACGAAATTTTCTTCGTCGCGCAAAGTGAAAAATGTAGTAGTGATAGGACATACATTGTAATCACTCAAGCTCAAGCTCAAGTTTAGATTAAGAATAGTTTCTCTAAGTGTTCTTATCTTGTTGCTATCTTATGGAAGATCAATCATATTGGCAAAGGTAATTTGTGTATTGCATCATATTGCATTCATTAGATTTCTTAACATTATGACTAGTCATCCTTCACATTAGTAGGATTTCCAGCTCACTGGTTTCCAGCAGGATCCTAACAAACCTTTTTGTCATATTCTGCGAATTTTCTCAGCTACCATGTGTACTTTTCTGACCTTGGAATTTTTGGGTACAAGCCAAATGATTCCTCATTTGGCAGCCGTCAATTCTGAGGTGAAGTTTTTGAAAAGGTTTTTGCTAACTTTTGCTCTATTTCTTCCTCAAGAGAAAACCTCCATTTTTCATCTATGAGTTTTCTAAATTGACTTTCGAAAACTGCTCTTGAAATATGAAATCTGCATCTAGAACAAACACATTTTCATATATATATATATATATATATATATATAGGTCAGATTCAAGATTGATTTTTTCAAGAGTATGGTTTCTTGAAGAAATTGGTCATTTTTCCTTGAATCCAAATTTTGGTTTCTGTCTAAGTTTGAGCTAGCTAGCTAGTGTCATGGGATCAAAG